TATTTGATGATATCAACGTTTAGATGTCAAAATTAAAGACAAACATTACCTACTGATAATGTAATCTTGATATGTCCCTCATGTTACTTAGATTAATCAGGGGTTTGATTTCATTAATATAAGATTACTCAGTAATGTTTAAAGATATCAAATTTACAGGCCATTCTATAATCCTATGAATGTTTGGTATCATTAAATATATTTTTTTCAAAATGCAGTGACATTAAAACATTAGAGTACTGTCTAACTATATGCTATGTTGATCTATCACAGATTGAATAGAAAATCCTAGTATATTCATCCAAATTTTTGCCTGTGATGAAATCTCTAGGAAGCCAGAGGATAGTGTTACTGTTAAACCAGTGGACACAGAATTGTCATCAACTTTTGTTTTGCATTTATATCAGTTGTTCAAAAAGTATAAATCCAACTTTAAACAAACTTTGTATATTAGATAACATATTAGACACTTAAACATATCCATCATTTACAAAAATATCTTCCAGATTTTACAGTCCAGCAACCCTGAAAGTTAGGATTACTAAGAAGCTGGATTTTTTTTAATGTTTTGCACTTAACCGAGTCATTTTCTCATAAATAAGTGTTTTTCCAGGGAAACCTGAAAAATAGTTCCATCGTAGTATGGACATCTGAACCCACCAAATAGGTAATAGAGGGCATAAATTCTAGTCAGTTTTTGTATTTTTCTTTGTGATATAAATTAGAACCTGTGATATAGACTTGATTCAGCAACAAATAGATACTCAAGTGGTATTGATACCTTCCAAATACACAGGTTGTGACGGACAAAAAAAACCCCACTGGTATTAGAGTATTTCTTCAGAATATTTTTTCACCCAATTTCTAGCAGGCCTAAAATATTTGATGTAAAGTTTTGATATAGGTTGTCTTATGAAGTTAGGTTATTTTTTGTGTGTGTTGAATTATATTGATTTCAGTATATGAGTCCAAAGTGGCAAATTGTCTTTACTGCAAATGTCGCTCAGCTCTGGCATAGAATTATCATAACAAAAGGAGAACTAAGCTCAGCTCATGGTGATGTATTTGTCATTGGTGTACCTGGTTCCAGTATGAATACTAATCTATATATTTCTATACTTATGTAAAAGATATTTTACTCCAAGAGAAATCCAAAAACAGTCTTTCATTTCTGTGTGATATTAAGTTTTCTTAACCTTTTTTCCCCCATGAAATACAGATCATATATTTAATATTTATGTAAAATTACCATCACTAATCAGTATTTGCGTTAAAATGGTGTTATCAGTGAGGAGATTTTAATTAAGGAAAATTATCAGTGTATTTGGTATTACTACATATAATCTGTTGACATTTTAGGTTAATGTTACTACTCTTATAACAAATCTACCTGGTCATAATAGAAAGAATTAAAGATATAAATCAATTAAAAGACATATACTTATATTAGAATTTAATAACAGACCCAATATCACATCTCTGATAATTTAATACAGACCCAATATCACATCTCTGATAATTTAATACAGACCCAATATCACATCTCTGATAATTTAATACAGACCCAATATCACATCTCTGATAATTTAATACAGACCCAATGTCATGTCTCTGATAATTTAATACAGACCCAATGTCACATCTCTGATAATTTAATACAGACCCAATGTCACATCTCTGATAATTTAATACAGACCCAATATCACATCTCTGATAATTTAATACAGACCCAATGTCACATCTCTGATAATTTAATACAGACCCAATATCACATCTCTGATAATTTAATACAGACCCAATATCACATCTCTGATAATTTAATACAGACCCAATGTCATGTCTCTGATAATTTAATACAGACCCAATGTCATGTCTCTGATAATTTAATACAGACCCAATATCACATCTCTGATAATTTAATACAGACCCAATGTCACGTCTCTGATAATTTAATACAGACCCAATGTCATGTCTCTGATAATTTAATACAGACCCAATATCACATCTCTGATAATTTAATACAGACCCAATGTCATGTCTCTGATAATTTAATACAGACCCAATGTCATATCTCTGATAATTTAATACAGACCCACCCAATGTCATGTCTCTGATAATTTAATACAGACCCAATGTCATATCTCTGATAATTTAATACAGACCCAATGTCACATCTCTGATAATTTAATACAGACCCAATGTCATGTCTCTGATAATTTAATACAGACCCAATGTCACATCTCTGATAATTTAATACAGACCCAATGTCATGTCTCTGATAATTTAATACAGACCCAATGTCACGTCTCTGATAATTTAATACAGACCCAATGTCACGTCTCTGATAATTTAATACAGACCCAATATCACGTCTCTGATAATTTAATACAGACCCAATGTCATGTCTCTGATAATTTAATACAGACCCAATGTCATGTCTCTGATAATTTAATACAGACCCAATATCACATCTCTGATAATTTAATACAGACCCAATGTCACGTCTCTGATAATTTAATACAGACCCAATGTCATGTCTCTGATAATTTAATACAGACCCAATGTCATGTCTCTGATAATTTAATACAGACCCAATGTCACATCTCTGATAATTTAATACAGACCCAATGTCACATCTCTGATAATTTAATACAGACCCAATGTCATATCTCTGATAATTTAATACAGACCCAATGTCATGTCTCTGATAATTTAATACAGACCCAATGTCATATCTCTGATAATTTAATACAGACCCAATGTCATATCTCTGATAATTTAATACAGACCCAATGTCATGTCTCTGATAATTTAATACAGACCCAATATCACATCTCTGATAATTTAATACAGACCCAATGTCATGTCTCTGATAATTTAATACAGACCCAATGTCATATCTCTGATAATTTAATACAGACCCAATGTCATATCTCTGATAATTTAATACAGACCCAATGTCATGTCTCTGATAATTTAATACAGACCCAATATCACATCTCTGATAATTTAATACAGGCCCAATATCATATCTCTGATAATTTAATACAGACCCAATGTCACATCTCTGATAATTTAATACAGACCCAATGTCATGTCTCTGATAATTTAATACAGACCCAATGTCATGTCTCTGATAATTTAATACAGGCCCAATGTCATGTCTCTGATGCACACTTAAGTTTATATCTGAATCAAAACATCAAGTTGTTTTATATCTCATTATTATGATGATTTGTTTGTAATATTGTCACTGATTATAAAACATTCCAATAAAAATATTTCAAAAATTGCTGGATATATTGTCTTGGTGTATAAGTCTATAGAGAAACTCAATCTTGCTGTTGCACTTTTTTTAGTGACAGTTGCAAATTGTAATTACAATGAATAGAATTGTCCCACAAAATATTCATTGACAAAATGGGATACATGTATGGAAAAAATATCACATTTGTCCAACATTGTATGTTAGATATGTTCACAAATCCTTCCCTTCACATTAGATGGTTCACCACTAAGAATTAGATCTATAGAGTGTGTCTGAAGAAACCAGCCCCCATTTTACAGTTTGTTTTTTGCAATTTTTGGGACATAGACTGATTAAAATGCATTCTATGTTAAATACAACAACCTCAAGTATTTTTTGATTAAGTATAAACAATTTCATGGCAACAGAACATAAGTCCCAATTTCCTGTGATCAACACAATACTAAGAATGCTCAATATTAGTTACAGTTACAAGTCTGCCCCATATTTTATCCCAGTCAAACACTCTATAAAATGGTGTTATGCACTGAAGATGACTGATAATCGTTACTTATAATCATTGCAGCTTGCTGAAGTTTTCCAACTCCTCACCTATATCACTATGAAAACATCAACACAAATGAACCAATGAAAGCAAAGTTTACTGTATCAGATATTTTACCATGTCTTTGTCTTCCAGGAAACATTTAACAACATTATAGGTCTGATGTGCCATTGTGTATAGAATTTAGTTGAAGGAGAAAACAGATATTTGATTCAGTGATTAATCTGGAAAATTGAAGTATTTGGTAACTATATCAGCATTGTATATCTGATGGACATGTGTTCATGTTTTGGACGAGGATGGACACAGATGTTTGGTTCATAGAAACCAACATTGGAATTTGCTTACATATCAAGTATGAAACATTAACTTTAAATATTTGTTGAATTATTTGTAATGAAAATGCTGTTTGTTAATCAATAAGCTGTGTGTCTTGTTTTTTCAATGTCTTAAATCTGCTGTAAAGTAAGTAAATGGCCCATTCTGTGCTGTCATGGTTTAGTCCTTTAACAAGACTATACTGAAGTGCTCTGGATAGCATGTGGCAGACCTCTGGAATTATGTTTGATAAAAATACCTTAGCGTTAAAGCTGCAAGAGCACTAACAAGGATTTTCAAAAAATAATGATGACCTTGACCCTTCAACCTTGAGACTTGAAATTTAGATATTATGGGGATGAAAAAGTAAGGCTAAGAATTCATAATCCTGATGCAATGGATATGACTTGTAATATTGTCTCAAATGTTACTTGTTTTGTGTGTTATTGATAGAAATCCCGATAACACATTTTTTGCCTGCTATCTGATAAGTTAAACTGCCCTAGTACTGGATCAGTCTCTCTAAAATTCCATAGTGTAGGTTCCTCTTGGTCTCTAGTTGTGTCCTTTTGATTTTTGCTTTGATAAAAAAAGCTAACTGGCTGAAAGGCGATCATCTTGAATTTTAACAATAAAAATTTGTTATTGCTATTTCTTAAGAACTACTGAATGGATTTTTTTCTAAAATGTAGGTCTCTTTAAGAGAGATGAGGAAAAAGATACAACTTTGATACAACAAAATCAATGAGATTAAAAAAAGGTGCATGCCTGATGCAAGATTCTCTGTTATCTCACCCCAAAAAGGTAAAGGTGTATGGTAGAAATTTCATGTAATACTAAGGGAACACAAGATAAATAAATAAAAGCACATTTAATTTGGAGAAAGTTCCATTTAATTCTTTGTTTTTAAAATTCAAAATGGATAAAACAATCCATAGAATTCATCATCATGAAAGTAGAGTGTAAACTCAAGTACATAATGTATAATGTTATATGATAAAAGTAGCATAAATAAACTAGGACGGCACAATTTACTGTAAATGTAGCTACCTCTAACAGCTATCACAGTCATAACACAAATATGTCTCGTGTCAATATATATCTGTAGGATTTGAAATACAACTGGCAAATTTGAAATATAGCTGGAAAATATGGAAAATGAGTGAACACACCTGGAAAATAAAGAACATCATATATTGTAGTATTATGGATATGGGTCCCAACATCAACAGTATATGGTTTCAATACCAAGGACATATCTGAAAGAAAATAATGTAAACACAGAATAATGGGCAAGGAGCTTCAGGCCTTCAGTGGGTCCAGGGCAAAGCCCAGGTAGGAGGGGGAGGGGGGGGGGGTTGCTAAAGTTCCTGAAATTTTAGGTTGGTTCTTGGTTCTTAGTGCACACACTAATTTTGTAATGGATCTCTGAATGTTGTAGTGCATGGAAATCTCTAGCTGTTTGGCTACCATTCACTATTAATATTTGCTAAAAGTGATTGCCTACATGTAACCAGTTTTTAAGCCAACCTGGACCGCTACATGTGTAGTGCTACTATTTCACAAGGCTGATTTGTTTTGTGTGTTGATTTTAATTTGTTTGCTTCAATTCAGTTAAAATTTCACTTATGTTTTCAAATATGTTCTAACAAAAGGAACTCGGACCAAAAAATCCTGCAAAATTTTCTATTAAGTTGCCATTGTTGTGATATCTACTGTCTTCATGATATTGCTTCTTTGGGTCAGTGGGTCAGATGACCTAAAGATCTTTCCTTTGATACATAACCTATGTAGTAGTGGATATATTTTGCCATGCATATATAAATGACAAGAGGCTCAATGGGCATGCAGCACTCACCTGGTGTATATATATATATATCAGCCAAATATCATGCCTCTAGGACTTTTAGTTCATGAGAAGTTGTTTAAAGATTCTAACAAATTTGACCCTGTAACCTTGAATACAAGCCAAGGTCATTCTTTCATCAAACTTTGTTGGTCTTCATTCTAGGAACATACCAGCTAAATATCATCCCTCTAGGCCTCTTAGTTCATGAGAAATACATTTACATGTTTTCACAAATTTGACCCTTGTGACCTTGATTACAGGTCAAGGTTATTTCTTTTTGCAAACTTTGTTGGGATTCATCTTAGGAACAGACCAGCCAAATAATATCACATTTGGTCACTTAGCTATTGAGAAGATGCTGTTTAAAGAAAAAAGTTGTCACAGGATGCCGCACCACAGCATAAGGGTCAGGTGAACTGAAAAATTTAACTATAGGTACATTACCTAAATCCTGTATAATATGAAATGTTCAGGACTGTTTACTTTCTTTTTTGCGATTTGAGGGCTTCCAAATTATATGACTTTCTATTAATCTAAATTTTATATTGTTTCTATTCTTTTGTGTCATAGAAATATCAGTTTTGTGTATTAGTTGTTCTAAAGCAACCATGAAAGCAATGAAAGTTTATACACATTGAACGATTCATGCTATACAATTGTACTGATTTGGACACACATCTAAGTTAAAAGATGGGTACATGACCTATTTAGTACACGTAGTGAATATATCAGAACACATCTTTACAAGAAACTTTCCATATATACAAATTGTATACACATGGAACAGACAAGTATTAGGGAGATTTCAAATGTTTTCAAATACTTACAATTGCAAGGATTTTTGATGTTTTAAAAAAATAAAAATATATGCACCATTAACAATCCAGATCATTTAGTAGCTACATATTAGCCTTGCATAGTTAAAGATCCTTAACAACAGTAAAACAATAACAAATATTCTTACACTGATTCAAATATAGAAATAGAAAACACATGTTTAACTAACCTCAGGTAACAAATTACCATCTATAGCCAGGAATCATTAGGATTATATATTACTGAGCTAAGTGGGTCTTCTGTATATCTAAAGCACACCTGGATGATCTTCACACCTTAATGATCTTCACACATGGATGATCTTGTGTCCAGGTAAGTGTCCATCAATGTCGTATTGTCAGATACATGAACTGTGGAATGCACTTTATTGTATTAGCAAGTACAAAAACTTTTCCTGATGAATAATGTACTTTACTGTACAACAAAGACTGGTGTTTTAAAGGAAAGACTTCACCCTGCCTAGATTGTTGTAAGGTTCTGGTAGAGGGTACAGCCCCAAATTTTCCTTGAATGCTGACACATCAGTTACATACACAGGCTGAAAAGTGGATTAAACATTGAAAGTTAACTGCCTCTTCATATAAAACATTAATCAAGAAAATGTACAGTATCTTCAGTACAGTATTAAAAGGCTTTATCCCATGTCAGACTGTCAGCCAAATATAAAGACTAGGCCTTTTGACTGACCAGAAATCATTTTGGCGTTTGAACAAATATGACCTCTCTGACTTTGGTTATTTGAAACGTTAACATTTTTTTGCAAACATTCTCTGGCTTCATAGCATCATACCAAGAACCTATCAGCCAAATATCACAATTATAGGTTTTTAAAATTTTCAAAAAAGACAAAAAGTCACCCTTGTTACCTCAAATATATCATTAATACTGCAGGGGTTAAGCTCACTATCACTCTCTGAATCCCTAGAACACTTCATGACTAGTGATATTAAATTAGTCAATATGTACAAAAGATAAACATTGTCAAGTAAATAGAATCTTTTCACACAAATTCAGTGTTAGATAAAGTAGAGCCAAACAATGAATAAACCTGCACCATACAGATTTTTTTGTTCTAGCTCTTGTCAGTGGTACTTAGGCCTGAATTTTGAAGCCTAAGAGGAAACCAAGAAAAATCCAAAGTAATCAAAACAAAAGTCAAAATTTAGATGGGGAGGGTGCACTAGCCCTATATTTCAATAAATTTCATAATTTTCATATGTCTGATCAATTTGGAAAAAACATCAAGTACATGTGTATGAATCAAAATATGGCAATCGGGTTGCAGCATATTTGGGGTTAACAGTCCAATGCAGTGTCTACCACCTGCAAGGTCATTTCTTTCCATAGATTTGGTTGGGTTTCATCCCAAGAAGCTACAAGCTAAATATGCTGACTCTTCACATCTTGTTTAGAGATAAAAAGTTGTTAAAACAAGTTAGTTCATTTGAAAACAGAAAACACTAACTTATTAGAAAATGATGTCACCTTTCCTATAGGCAATATTGCATACATTTGATAGTGAGAGAACATTTTACCTGTGGCAGATTTTGGGAAGGTGTAACATCTGAATCCTTCTTTTCCAGATCTGAGGTTATCTCTTCTTTAGTGTCACAGTTTCCCAATGTTGAAGCAACGTGAATAGCCAGCTTTTGTCGCTTGTATGCATCCAAAGCAATATGCTCCTGTAAAACAGTTTTATTATCAATTTTTTTTTTTAAAAATTTCAATGATAACATTTCAAATTCAGTGCAATACATTATAACTTTTTAAAAGTAATTTTGTTATCTGGATTGATTTCCTCAAATCATGTTGGTCCAATGGTCGCCCATGTTTAACCTGTCACTGTTTGTAGTTATACCAGTTTACATTAATATATTTCTCTATAAACACCTGTATTTGCTTACCTTGAAGAACTGGTAAAGATCCTTTCTCTCTAACGTCTTCAGGTGTGCAACCTCAATGCTATCTATGGATAAATTTAGTTAAAATAAATTCTAATCTGAGTGAAGGACCAAATGAATGTAACTGACATCCCCAGGAGGTAGTGAGATAGTGAGTGATGAAGACATGCCTCAGACAATATGACACAAGGACTGGTGAATACACATACAAGCCCATTATATCCTCTTACAGAAACAAATATCTGACACTAATGAATGCAACTTATAGGTAATTAAGTTGTTGTTTCTCTCAACCTGCAAACTGATCATAACAGACTTATCTCAAGAAAAATTTACTTGTCAATGTTCATATTAGGAAACTAAAAAATGTCTTCAAAAAGCAAATGCCCCTGTTTCGTGCAAATAAGTCAGATATATTTGATGAAATACAAGCAATACTGTGTTCATGTTTTCAGAACCATGCAACAAGAACTCATTGGAGGTAATGTAAAGTTGTAGTTAATCCATGTATAAAGTTTTACCAAGAGAAAGGAAGCTAATGGAATAATGACTCATAGGGGGACAGGGCAGGGTAGGACAGGTCACTACAACAAAACCCCACCTCTCAAAAAAATGGCCAGGATATAGTCATAGTAACAAACAAAACAGAAATTCTCACGCTTTTACCTCGATCAAAATTATATGTGTGATTTTTCACTTCAAACCAGAAATACTGGTTCTGTTCACGGATGTTTTTTGGTTTATCAAGGCGTTTGACTGTCATAGCAGCAACATGTTTCTGGAATTCTTCTTCTGTCATCGTCTTTAACTGCTCCTATTGGACAACAAATAACCAGAATAATTTCTCCAGACAATAAATAATTTTTTTCTATGGTTATGTTATGGTCCCTCTCGCAAAGAACTTATGAACATCTGTGATAAATTCTATCATAGATAACATACTCAGAAGTTAAAGAGCAAACCTCCATTAATCCCTTCATAACCCCCGATAATGACCTCAGAATTATTATACTGTATATCTCCCACATACTGAGAACATACAGATAAAAATTACTCAAATAGATATACTGGACATAAAATTCAGATTAAAATTACTCAAATAGATATACTGGACATGAAATTCTCAATCCTTTGCCACACCCAGTGAGTAAAAAAATGACTAAGGCAACATTAACTTAACATACATCCATACAGGAGAGGAAAGCTTCTATCCGTCCCTCAACGTACTTCGGTGATTTGCCAGACTGTACAAGGATACGATATCCTTGGACACCACTGCTGCGTAAAGGTCCACTTCGCACAGTGTAACCTAAAAAAATACACAAAATAAAAATGAACTGAACACAGACTGTCTTTTACCCTGCTCATCCCTGCACGCTTTCCTTCTGATCTAAATCTATTAAGGGTGACCTTTAACCTAGAGAAATGACCACCAAAATCTAATCAAGTAAAGACGTTGATGATATGAAGCTATGGTATGAATATAACCTAAATCTGTCCACAGGTTAAGGATGTACGTTGTACACAAGTTAATCAGGGATACACGCACAATGTACCACTCTTACATAAGAGGAGGGTATGATAATCACAGTGAACTGAACTAGAAGTTCATGTGGTTTTGTAACAACAAATCAACCATTTCTAATCAATTTTATCAAAATCTCCATTACAAAAGAATTTCCTTTAGCTGATTTTAAAAAGTCAATAATATTGGATATGAATTGTCATTATACTTTCCTTTATCTGGTTTTAAAAAGTATGACGATATTGGATGAGAAATGTCATTTTACTTTTCTTTATCCAGTTTTAAAAAGTATGATGATATTGGATTAGGAATGTCATTATTTAGAGTTGTTTACATAATAAACTAGTATTAGAAATAGGTATGAGGAAGCAGAAACCTAATTGTTCCTTTGTCCTAAGAGTGGTGAAGCACGCCTCCTTGAGAGATTGAGAGAGAAGCTCCAGTAATACATTAGAGGCAGTGTCCTCTGGCCCACACTGAAGGTATATCAGGGTACAGGAACTCTTCTGGATCTCATTTGTACGCTCATACAAATAGTAACTACCTGTTTAAAATACAAAATTCTTTCCATTACATCCTTATTGATATATATCAACATAGAGTGTCATATCATCTTACCATTACAATGGTTCTTTACAGCAATCTTATAAATAAATAATATCTACTGACACGGGTTACAATTTATACAGATATCTTAATAATATATAATATCTACCAATACAGGTTATAATTTATACAGATATCTTAATAATATATAATATCTACCAACACAGGTTATAATTTATACAGCTATGTGTGATAAAATGATGTACTTACTCCATGATAACTGATGACTTACCCTGTAGTAATGGAGGATGTACTTACCCTGTGGTAACTTGTGTTCTCGGAACCTCATTCTCTGACTAACTGGGAGTGGACGTGTCCCACTCTGAGACTGAAGCACATTCTCAACCATCTCTGTCATGGCTAACACATCCTGTTGTCATATAATTATCAGTCAAACAAGTGAAACATAATCACATCCAATGTAGCCATGTATATATGTGATGTGCTTGATGCATAATATTAAATGATTTACATGTACAATAACAAGTTAGTATGACTAAATCATAAAACAATAATTTACCTGCAATGTCACCTGGATTGTGATATGTTAACAAACACCAATGATAATTTACTTGTATTATGGTACAATGTAAAATCTAATATTTTCCATTAAAAAAAACAGTTTCAATCACAATCGTTTTCATCAATAAAACGTACTCAAAAAATCTACCAGTATTAAGTACCAAGACAATAGGTTGTTCATGATTTTGTGGAAATATGAATTTATTGATTAATAAAACCCTCACAAAAATAAATCATTTTACAGCAGATCAATCATTTACCAGTTCTGCGACCTTTATTGATGATTCAATGATAATTCACCTCCTGTTGTGACTCAAATCAATGACAATTTACCTATTTAGTGATATGGTTCAATGATAATTTTCCTCTTTGGAAACTTGCACTAATGATAATTTACCTATTTTGAAACATAGGCCAATGGCACTTTACCTTTCTTGTGTTTGGATCAATAATTTACCTAATATTGTGACACAGACCAATCATGTAAAAAATAGGTGTTCAGGGTTTTGTTTAGAGTAAGACATGTAATATAAATCAACGACAATTTACCTGTATTGTGATATTTAGATCAATGATAATCTAACTGTATTGTGACATAAGTCAACTTACCTGTTTTGTGACATTGCCTGTGATAAGGCCCTCTATGTAAAGTGTCTTGAGCACCTCTGGGACAAAATCTTCTAGCATATTTATTGTAATACCTGTAACAAATGATGACACTTTTCAAGATATTGTAAATATCTTAAACATTTAAATTTGAATCAGTTCATTCTGTAAATAAATTATCAGTTAGTACCTAGAAAGAAATCAAGGTTGAATTCCATTTCACCTGATAGAGTTTTTCTAAATGACTCTTAACCATTTACATATACCAGTGGTCATACTTGTCTGATGAGAACACTTAATGTACATAAAGTAACATCGTCTTGCAATGATGGATAGATAATGGGACAACCAGATTAGTGGGGATAGATAATGGGACAACCAGATTAGTGGGGATAGATAATGGGACAACTAAATTAGGGGGATAGATAATAGGACAACCAGATTAGTAGGGATAGATAATGGGACAACCAGATTAGTGGGGATAGATAATGGGACAACCAGATTAGTGGGGATAGATAATGGGACAACCAGATTAGTGGGGATAGATAATGGGACAACCAGATTAGTGGGTATAGATAATGGGATAGCCAGATTAGTGGGGGATAGATTGTAAGACAACCATAGTGGGGGATAGATTGTAAGACAACCATAGTGGGGGATAGATTGTAAGACAACCATAGTGGGGGATAGATTGTAAGACAACCAGAGTAGTGGGGGATAGATTGTAAGACAACCAGAGTAGTGGGGGATAGATACTTGGAATACCAGATTAGTTTGGGATAAATTGTAAGACAACCAGATTAAACATAAGATTTGTAGAACAATCTGATTAATGGCATGAAATTTGCAGAACATCCTAATTAGCAGAGGATGAATAATGTAGTTGAACAACCATTTTCAATATTCGTAGTGGATATATTGTAGGACAACCAAATTAATTGTGGATAGAATGTGGAACAAAAGTAATGTAAGTTCTAGGTATAATGAGTCTAATGTTTAAACATCCACAGAGATAAAACTTGAACAATCAGAGTATACCTTGTAGAGCCTGAAGTTTTTCCTCATGGGTCCACTGTACTTCAGACATGAGTTCTGAGGTATAGGAAGAAACCTGACTACTGGGCTGTTCTGCTCTGAAGTTCTTATAAATCCTCTCCAACTTTAAAATAATCATTTCATGGCATATGTGTATTGAAATAGAAATAAAACAAATGCCTATATGTAGTCAGTCTGATTACATAAATAGTAGCTTATAAATAATTATTCGCTCACTTTATGTATAAAACAGTAATAGTAAGTTTCCCTACAGAACACAATCCAAATGTAAAGCATACAACAATGATCACTAGTTAACCAGAAGGGCATTTCTTGGTTACCTTCTCCTTGATGATGCCAAACTGGTCTGGGTCAACAGAAAACTGGGTAAGTCTGTCCATGATCTTCTTTAGGAGGACATGCTGTTTATCATTGTACCCACTGATAGACAACTGGAATGATAAGAAACAATGACATCTTACATGTCTCTGGTACAATGCAAATTAAATAAGATAGATTTCCAGAGGGATATCTTCTAATTAGGCTGCTTTCCCATATCTCACACTTGAAACAGTTCAAGTGGTACAGAGTTATTCCATGACAAACAAATACACCTGTACTGTAATATGGATGTTACATGTAAAACTCAACATATACAGTTTTGGAATTCGGTGCGAAGTATAAAACAATGACACAAATTCTGCTTTATACAGAAATTCTGAAAACTAAAAAGCCAGACAAGTACAGCCCATGGTAATTAGACAGTTTATACGAGGGTAGCGCTAACTAATGATTTCAACACTGAAAAGATGACAGTATAATGATCCTATCTGTCTTTTATCACATCACTATTATAATATTCAACCTCCCTACTCCCCAAAACACAAACTCATTAGCATTTCATATTTGATCTCTTAATGGCATTTAGTTTGCTTGTGGTCAAAATTTATTAAAAACTAAACTTGCCAGAGTGATGATAGGGTGATAATGACCTTGACATTGACTTCTTAAATATTAACCCATCAAAGGTCATCTCATTTTTGACAATTCTCAGTTGATAAAGTTTGACCAAAATCTTTCCAGAAATGACCCTGAGGAAGTATTGCCACTACATAGTGAAGTAATGCCACTTCATATAAAGGAGTAGAATGGGACCGACACAAATAAACAGCCATGGGTAGCACAATACAGGTATGTCACTATCCTGGACAGAATAGAATGTCAGCTAAACACACAATACATGTATGTCACTATCCTGGACAGAATAGAATGTCAGCTAAACACACAATACATGTATGTCACTATCCTGGACAGAATAGAATGTCAGCTAAACACACAATACATGTATGTCACTATCCTGGACAGAATAGAATGTCAGCTAAACACACAATACATGTATGTCACTATCCTGGACAGAATAGAATGTCAGCTAAACACACAATACATGTATGTCACTATCCTGGACAGAATAGAATGTCACTAAACACACAATACATGTATGTCACTATCCTGGACAGAATAGAATGTCACTAAACACACAATACATGTATGTCACTATCCTGGACAGAATAGAATGTCACTAAACACACAATACATGTATGTCACTATCCTGGACAGAATAGAATGTCACTAGACACACAATACATGTATGTCACTATCCTGGACAGAATAGAATGTCACTAAACACACAATACATGTATGTCACTATCCTGGACAGAATAGGATGTCACTAAACACACAATACATGTATGTCACTATCCTGGACAGAATAGAATGTCACTAAACACACAATACATGTATGTCACTATCTTGGACAGAATAGAATGTCACTAAACACACAATACATGTATGTCACTATCCTGGACAGAATAGAATGTCACTAAACACACAATACATGTATGCCACTATCCTGGACAGAATAGAATGCCAGCTAAACACACAATACATGTATGTCACTATCCTGGACAGAATAGAATGTCACTAAACACACAATACATGTATGTCACTATCCTGGACAGAATAGAATGCCAGCTAAACACACAATACAAATGTAGAATAATTACTGTTATGCCATATTTGGTAGCGGAGAGATCATAGTGAAGACCAGCTAACTCAGCATCATAGGAATACTCATTGAGAGCATCTTTGAACAGCATCACAAATAGCTTGGTCAGAACATGGTTGGCAGGTGTAAGATAGGTCAGAGGGCTGAAAAAAACAATGAAACCATAACCTCTGAAAATAGTTGGTATTTTATTAGCATTTGTATCTTATATGAAACCTGCAGAATGTGACAGCTAAGGATAATCTGTACTACCAATGCAAGTCGCACATAAAATTAAAATGTTTAAAAGATTATTAGTCTTGACAAGCAATTTGTATTTCAGCTCAATGATACAGTACATGGTTTGTCTATATAGCATACTTAAATTAAATTTCAATATACATATGTAACATGGAACAGAATAGCGAAACGAAGCAAATAGGCTAATAGAATTTTTCTATAATAACCAGAGCAATCATATCCATGAGATCTGATCTCACAAGAGATATACCATATCAGAAAACCTATTGTAAATTTGTGGGTATAGTGCGCACTCAGGCATAGGTCACTGACATCAAAGCATCAATGGGATGGGCTGATAGTGAACCCACCGTTGATTTTGATATGGAGGACCATTATGAGGATGATTACGACCTGTTTTACCATGACAACGAAAAATCTACCGAGGCAGACTTTAATCTGGCATTCTTCTTTAACAGTGACAATGATGAGGAGGAAATCAAACCATTTCAGTGACTGTGTTTGTTTAGTGCATAGTAACAAAAGTGATTTGTGACTGTGTTTAGTGAAAAGTATCTTCAATGCTACGAACTGCTTGTTGTTTTTATCTTTAATGTATCAGATATGACCGACGACTTTTACATATAACTATGTGAAGGGAGGTAATCCAATATGGCGGACAGAGAACTTGAGAATGATAACCCCAAGAACGGCATGTTCCTGTATAGTACGCACCCCCTTTTTGACACGACAGGTTTTGCCCAAAAAACTGTGCACTATACACACAAATTTACGGTATTCAGTTTCAGTATGGAAGACACTTCACAAATCTTTAAAAAAGTTTTAGGCAGGTACACTTTTAAAATAAAAACAAGGTTCTGAAAGAAGTCTACAGTTTGTGTTATCGATACTTACTTGTTCAGTTCATATTTAACAGATGCTTTAGGTTGAAGGAATGTGTTGTCTTGATGGAACCACAGTCGACACAAGTCACTATCCTAAAGATTGTATCAAATTATTAATATTGTGACTTTCTGTAAAACAGTGATATAAAGCCCTGGCAGATGCATCTTTTATTTATCATGAAGTGTTAAGATGATTTGTGGAAACAACATATTTACTATCTAGAAAGAAAACATTACTAAAGGGATGAGTTCATTGGTACAATCAATCGTATTGTGTAGAAAGTAAGAGTCCTAAATGGTCAAAACAACACTCTTTAAGGATTGTATCTGTACAATTGTGTTCAAACAACATTACAACAATCTTCCATTGTGATACCATCAACTGGTTTCTTATTAAGGAAAAGTTTACATTAACGCAGAGATATTTATAAAAGTGAAATGACAAAACATACCCTCACAAGTTGTGGCACTGTACTGGACTGAAATGGATTGTAAAACATGATAAGATACAAGAGCTTCAACTTGACAGACTTACCTCCCTTCCCATGTAAGTTGAGGAACAGCAAGTTTAGCTATGAACCATAACAAATCATGAAGTTTGGGCATATACCAATATAGCTCAACAATTCATGAAGAAGATTTGTAGTTTCCAATCATAGCTTGTAGATTAAATCCAAATGAAAAAGCATCTCTTTTTCTATTCTATTCTCACAAGAGTGAGTGAAATCAGTTATCTCACTAAAGTTAACACTACCCCCTCCCTTCCCAAATGAGTAGAAGAACTGCAAATTTAGCCTTCAACCACTACAAACCAAGTTTAAAGTTGCTTTGTTGCAACTAAGGGTTTATGTTGATAACTAAGGCAGTTTGTTAGGACTACAGATTTAACATTTCATACAAAATTTGGAGGGGCCTCATAAGACTTAGTCACAACTTGTTCAAAAGCAAAATAAGATTAGTAGGTCTGTCCTTATTTCATAAAGGAACAACCATCGTACCATCAGTCAGATAAACAAATATAGCCGTACATCATTTGATATCAAATGTCTACTTACAAGCATGATACAATGTAAAATGGATATACTTCTATCCTATTAAAAGGATAACTTATATTCAAGCGGAGTCTGTGTTGTAAGATGCATATTAATTATTTAAATTTCTTGACTAAGAAATTATACACTTATAACTGAAGAATAATTCAAACTCTTACAGTGTGTAGTGGTACATTGCAAGATGCATTATGAACTACACATACGAAGATCAATGACTGTCATCAGAGACAGACAATACAACCTACAACATTAGGAGAAATAGTTCAGACAAAATCCTATAATCCATCAAATAAGGAATCAAATTTAATCCTAATTATAAAGGAACTTCATTCACAAATGGAACTGAAATGTGTCGTTTTGGAAAAAGTACATTATACTAACCAACAATACAAAATGCTATAGGTAAGTAAAAATACTTATAGGTAAGCCAACTGCTACACTTTCTTCTAAATTTGTTTTTTCCTATCAAGGCACTAGTAACTGAGTCAATAATACCTGGTACATACTCACCTGAACTTCTCTTGGAACAATATCAAATGATTCTGGTATGAATTCATTGACAGCAGGTAGTCTTAGGTTTTCATGAAAACCACAGCATCCCCAAGCCTATAATTAAGGTGATATACACAAGTCAAGTGACCACATGTTGAGATCTATAGTTACAAATTAAGACAGGTATGGCAGGCATTTCACTTGAAATGTATGGCCAGTTTATTGGGTTTATTTTTAAGTTTTGCAGAATTTATGAAATTCTTGTATATATCTTTTTCCATAAGATAGAAAACTAAGTTTGAAAAGAGGATTATCAAAGATATTGCAAAATATGTTTTCTCCTTCCTTCATATCAACAAAGTACCAATTATTCATTAAGTGGTATACAATCTATTAATAGCACTAATACATTATATAAATGTCTACCTTTAACAAGACTTAGTAGTTAAACTTTAAATATGTTACTAGGGCAAGGGAACTTTATAAAAGTACAAGCTAACACCATTCATAACGACACAGGTATTTTTTTTATCTAAACTTACTTGTAGTTTTTCTTCAGGAATTTTCTCTAACATATATTTGGTACCATATAAAGGCTCTGTTTGGTCTGCTATACTATCATATGTCTTAGCTGCCACTCGGATTCTATAGGTAAATAACAGAAATATCTTATATACCTGACTAATTGACCCCTTAGAGTGTGTGGAATCAAACAGTTTTGTGTTGGCAACATTCTGAATTCTTTTTCAGTAGCATGAAGCCAAAGTCTTATAATAATTTAGTTATATATAAATAGCAATGGGGGAAATGACAGTTGTACATTCCAGAAATAATTAGTATAGATAACCAGACAATATCCAAGACCTAATGAAGATCTTCCGTGGATGTTGTCTAGTCATCAATACCTATTGTTTATATGTTTCTAGCACCAGACTTATGTATTCCTTAAGAATCCATCCTTGAATGATTACTGAAAATTAACGGAACCGCCCACACGGATGTTGGATATCATTTTCTTTGTATTCCAGACATAAGTCATGCATATTATGATAAAAGATTGTAACATTGCTATATACAAGTCTATGAGCTAATTTAGCCAACATTAAATTCAAATCAATATCAACCATTTTGATTTAGTGTTCCATCTCTTTATGTGATCCAGCCCTGACTTTACATTTCCTGTAATATATTTGAAATTTTTCAAACCAGATCCCAATAAGAACATCATTTTTTTTCAAATATTTTCCTTCCTGTTAGTTCTGATACTTTTTTCTGACCAGATGTGATATTTTACTGTTCTAACTTATGTATTACTATACAGTTACCTCATATTGGTTGGTACCAGTTTGTCTAGTATTGAGGTGATAAGGTCTGGTCGGAACTCTGACATCAGGTACCCACCACTCAGTGTGTCCTCCATAGGGTATATCTATAAGAGACCAGTCTTATGTAAGGTGCTGAGCAAAACACAACTAGGAAAGTCTCCCTTCCGTCAAATCATTAGCAACAAAATTAGCTCTATATGGTCCTCACTGAGTGTATACAATTCAGTCACATTAAACATATTTAACTACAGACAAACTGATACTGTAAATATATTTTATAAATGTACTGCTCCTAGAGTACAAATTATACATGTTGTGTAATGTACGATGTATTATATATTCTATTTCACACCATTTTAAAATCAAGATAATATTACAACAGTACTTACCAACATTACGGTGTTGGAGTTTCTTATGAAAATCTCTGCTAAAAGCCTAAAATCAGTCCTAAAAACCATCTTCCCCAAACAATTGTAAGCCTCCCCAGATGTCATACACCGGATATGATTTAAAATACACAAAAACTAAAGGCAGAGTAACATGGTTTTCAGTGTAGCTAACCTCACCAGAAACTGCAGGCACATACAAATACTGTATTGTATGACCTTAAAAACTACTCTAGATCTTAGAAATGCTTTAACTTGCCTGCATTGACCTACACACAGATGGTGTATAGTTTCTACTTTCTTCTTTATCCTTAAACCGAAATTTCATGGCCCGAATATTCTGTAAAAAGAACAAGGGGGATATACACCATACAGCAAATGATTTAATCTTTTTCTCAACAAAATATTAAAAAAAAATAAACACGAAAACATCAAAATCAAATTTTGAAGATGTATGTAATAATTTATGAAATGATCCCCATAGGACTGGCACATCATTAGTGTGCAACTTTTAAAATTAGTTGCATTGCCTTCACTAAAAGATTTAATTCATAGGAATATAACGCCTGGTATAAAATATGTATTCACTGATTTTGTTCTTGTAAGTAACAGTACAGCCATATGCCCTAAGGCCTTACCTGGTAATAGATTAAAATATGTTAGTAGAATCCATGTAGATAATGAAAGGTTATAGGAAAAGGCATTTTCAACTAAAATATGACACCGAAAATCCACTCTGGACAAAGGAGATCTTAAAGAGTAATGATATGCATTTAAGAAAAGTAATGGAGGTTTGTGTCATTGTTTCTCTGTGTTTCTCTAACATATTTGAAAACAGGTCCTAAAATTTCATGAATGAGATCAATATAAACCATTAACAGGTAAAACTACTACCATTGGTTTGTTATCCATACCTGGTACTCCCTAAAAATCCATTCTTGAGGTTCCTGACTCTTCAGCATAGCAATGTACTGATATGTAAGCATGACCATGTCATCAATGTGACCTAAATAAAAGTAAAACTAGGTCACCACAGGGTTGTTTTTTCCTATTTCTTTAACAATACTAATAGCATTGTTATCCACAATGTTTTGAAAAACCTGTCACTTACTCTGCTCAGTATTGACACACTGTAAATATTGATGGAATAAAACATGCAACTATATGTTTCCATTTTCCTTCTATTTTTGAGGATTAGATTTTCCTTTATAGAGACTGTTTAAATTATTTATCTAAATTAGAAAAATAATTTTTCCTTTATGGAGGTTGTTCAAATTACTCATCAAAGTATTGTTAAATTATTCATCAATGTGAAAAAGAAAATTTTTCTTTAATTAAAGTTGTTAAAATTATCTATCAAACTGCACAAGATGATTTTTTTTCTTTGTTGATGTTGTTAAAAATTAACAATTGATGTGAGAATGACATTTTTTCTCAAATATAAATTAGAGATTACGAAACTACCCATATTTTGCAGATCACTTTTATTTTTTGGCATATCTGAAAAAATTTACTGCCCTCCAAATTCTCCAGCCTATAAAACTCATAATTGAGTTTGAAAATGAGCCACTGAAAAAGAGTTACCTTAATTTTCGTAACAATGAGGTATTTACTTTAAAAAAAATTTAAATCGAACAAACTTGCTTTGTTCATAGAACATTTAAGCAAAATGCAAAATACATGAAAATTTACACCCCCCCCTCCCCACCCCCACAAATAGCACTTGTACTTAGTGAAAACTGAGCTTAGCTTTTGATAGGGATGTACATATGATAATAGTAAACAGGCTTTCTTTAAAGTTTATGGTTGACTGAACACACCACACATGCCTATTTGGAAGGCTAACAAATTATCCTAAACAGAAGGAAAATATAATATCCTCACAAACATTCAAATTTCCTTTACAAAATAAAGGTGATTCTCACTAAAATGTTGCTACAAACAACACTAGGTAAATCCAAGTTATCTAACACATGAAATATGTATCAAAGGGAGGTGAAATATCTATTAAAGGGAGATAACATGATAGATTGCTACACACCCAGACCATCCTCAGTAAACTGTATGTTAACAGTCAGGATTCTGAAACCTTTAGCACCCAAACTGCTGCCACAGCTTAAGGAATTAGCCCAACCTGTAAAAGGATTGAATAATGAATAAATGTTAAAGTGAATGAATTTTTATTTATCAAAATATTCAACAATCATTATAATCATGATGTTAAAGTCATACGATATAGTCATTGTTTGTTTGGACATTTTGTCAACATACCATAACTAAAAAAAAGAAGTGGATCTTGACTTGCATTCACACAATACATATAAAAAATCACTTCAACAACCTCAGATATGACTATGCAGATATAACAAAACTGATTTTCAATATCATTTCCTTTAAGATCAATTTCATTTAGAAATAAAGATGGAATGGAAGCTCATACAACCATTGTCAATTTGAGGTTTATTCTATAAGATGGCATACCTGTTACCAATTAACAAACGATACTTCTGTGAACAAACAAAATTTTATAACACTCCTTACTCAAAAGTCTTACCATGACATGAATTGTGCAATTGTTCTGAACTTAGACGCATGGAGAATGCATATTTTGTTATTCTTGTGTCAGATGACAACATTTCACTTTCAAAATATGCTAATTCACTGTTCTAAGCTAAAGGGGACAGGGCCACCTTTCACAATCATCAGTGTGCTAAGAGGCAGGGTACTGCAGTCTACATACATTATTGTGTCATTTTAGGCTGAAATATGACATTATGAAAATTAGATTGAGGCCTAAACCCTTTAATTTTGTTATTAACTTGCTCAGTGATATGAACTTCCATTCCATGCATTTACAACAAATTAACAAAATAAATCCTATTCTTTTTCATAGCTTAAGGAGATAAGCTAATATATGGCACCAACATTTCCTTTTGGAAAATTCTTTTCCTCCAATGACGCAAAGCAAAATTATTGCCCAAAGTGTTATATGATAAGAAACTGGACACTAACTGACCTTTGGATTTCAGTTCTGACAGGAGACTTCCCTTAGCCTCATGGCCAATCAAATGAGAGATGTAGTTCCCAGGCTGAAAAAATTCAAGCTCAGAATAAATTCCTTGCGTGATCAAAACATTATTTTATGTTTTTGCATTTTCTCAAACTTAAGAGTAAAACAGTGAAAATTTTATGTCAATACTTATATATCTTCAATTGCCAATTAATAAATGAAACAAAGATTTGTACAGTTATGATATCATATTTGTTTTTCTCTTGCATTGTATTTGGTATATTTATTCAACATATCATAAACAGAAAGGTGATTCAATAAATGTTTGTATATAAACAAAAGTATACTACAGACCTTAGCCGTGTAGAAATCCTGTAGGTCAGGTATGGCCCACATCAAGTTCAGACTTCTCATCTCTTTTACAGGAACTGCATAACATATTGTCTGTGAAACCAGATCATCTCAAGTCAATCAAAAGTTCATTTAAGTTACAATATTTGGATATGAAACAGACATTTCCTGGATAGTTGAAAAAACGATCTCAAATTCAAAAGGTTATATCTGGTTGAAAACAAATATAGAATAATTAAGACAAATTGTAAAATTTGCCAAACAAATTAGTTTGTTAAAAGATGATGATGATATTCCATTCTTGTGATATTACATATCTACACCATAACAGACATACAAATGCACTAAAGTATACTAGAGATTTTTTCATAGGTACATTGTGTAACTTCTATAAGAATAGGTTACTAACTAAAGGAACATGTTTCACTAAATACATAAGTACAAATATAATCATGGAACTTATTTCATTTATAGAAGTACTGGTCAGGTGCAGTAGGGCATCTGTAAATTTCAATGAAAATCAACAGTATAAGAATAGTATTGTTATGTCTACTCATTAAAACTGAAAAAAATTGCTGCTTTTAATATTACAGTGGAACCCTACCTTTAACTGGTCAGGCCCATAGGGGTGGTCAGTCCATTTAGGAACCTGGACAGATTTATTCTCCACCTCAGCAAACATTGGCACAACCATTTCTGACAATTCATCTAGTGATTCTAGAAGTAAGGAGAATTAAAGCACACATGTAGTCAATCAAAGAAATTTATGGTAATATTTAGATAATCTCTCTACCCCTAAATCTGTGACACAACGTTCACAAAGAAATGTATGGCAATCCTTAGTTAAACTCTTTACTCCTAAATCTGTGACACAACGTTCACAAAGAAATGTATGGCAATCCTTAGCTAATCTCTTTACTCCTAAATCTGTGACACAGTGTTCACAAAGAAATGTATGGCAATCCTTAGTTAATCTCACTACCCCCTAAATCTGTAACATAAAGTTCACAAAGATATGTACGACAATCCTTAGTTAATCTCTCTACCCCTAAATCTGTAACATAAAGTTCACAAAGATATGTACGACAATCCTTAGTTAATCTCTCTACCCCTAAATCTGTAACATAAAGTTCACAAAGATATGTACGACAATCCTTAGATAATCTCTCTACCCCTAAATCTGTAACATAAAGTTCACAAAGATATGTACGACAATCCTTAGATAATCTCTCTACCCCTAAATCTGTAACATAAAGTTCACAAAGATATGTACGACAATCCTTAGATAATCTCTCTACCCCTAAATCTGTAACATAAAGTTCACAAAGATATGTACGACAATCCTTAGATAATCTCTCTACCCCTAAATCTGTAACATAAAGTTCACAAAGATATGTACGACAATCCTTAGATAATCTCTCTACCCCTAAATCTGTAACACAAAGTTCACAAAGATATGTATGACAATCCTTAGATAATCTCTCTACCCCTAAATCTGTAACACAAATTTCACAAAGATATGTAATGAATTGTGCTGATTTAGTCACATCAGACAAGAATGAATTTAACCTCTACACCATATTTGGTAAGAAATATAAAAGTACAGAAGAGATTGCTGAGATGAATTGTTAAAATAACAGATCAAATTATTTATTATTGTGATCTAGTTGATATTCCATGATCACATAAAAATGCTTTCTTTGAGAGATGGCTGGAATGAAGACAGAATAAAGACAAAATTTTATTTAAAATGGGGTGGAGACTATGCAGTGTTTGGATGACACTGTAGTAATACAAGATTCTATAGGACTACCCACCTTTCCCCAACACGCATACAGACAGAATATTGGACGAGTAATGCTTAGCATGGAATTCCAGCAGAGCTTCACGGATGTTGATACCATGAGACGTAGGAATGGTTCCTAATGTGTCCTTGTTTCCTAAAACAATTAAATGTTACCAATTTATAAGTTTTAAAAAATCAGTAGCAGAAACAAATACTTTTATATAACTCACTTAATTTAATAAAAGTTCTTGCTTTAAAATCAGTTAAACAAATGAACATCTTTATTTCAATACCTAAAATTCTGTACCTGAAAAATTTTACATATATTTTTATAAAAATTCAAAAATATTGTTTTGTTGCTTAAGTTTATTTGATCACTTTTTCATAAACCTTACGCACTTTAAAACAAAACTTTAATATAACAAATTGAAATAACACCTTTAATAGGGGTATATTATATCATGTTGTAAGATACTATTTTCTCTTAGTTTTGAATTAATGAAAATGTCCATGCAGGAGGTCTCTATTGCACAGTAGAAAATCAAACAAATGAAGATGTGAAGATCAGATACATTTGGTTAAATTTCTACTCGGGAAACTTCATGTTCAGGGAGCTGAAATCAGGTACAGTACCATCCTATGCTGTTGTGTCCTTGGGCACTTAATCCAACTGCTCTGGAAAGCACATGATGGGCCTCCAGCATGATTTTCAGTGAGGTAGCCAACAACTACTACACAGAAACGCAGCATCCAAATGACCATGGCTGCTCACTGGGTGATAAAACCAGCCAAAAAAGCAAACATGCCTGGATCTTATAAGGAAAAATGACCAAGGACACATAAACTGAAGAATACAAAGGACAGGAAAGAAAGAGCAGTTAAGTAAGAAACGAAAATGCCAAGATCTGAAGTGTTGTGATGGAGAGCAGCAGTGTCTCCTAAGCTTAAAACAAATAACAAAAATCTCCACTTCTAATGGGGCCCGAAGTATAAGTAGCCTCTTTGATCAATTAGATAAAGATAATGTAATTTTTCATGGTTTCTTTAATGTGTTGAGAACAGAGGACTTAGCACAGATGAAATGATACTGATTCGTTGGTGAAGCCCTGTGATGCTGATACAAAAATGCATCCGTCAAAGCAGAGAGTACATATGACATGTTAAAATTCTAAACCCACTAATGGTTTGTATCAACAAATTTATCATCCTTGAAATTCTAGGGGGTTATGGTCACTTATGATGTGGAGAGATTGTATCAGGTAAGTGATTGTAATCCCTGGAATTTAGAGGATAAAAACATATCAATAAACATCTTACAAAACTTTAAGTCAACATTGACAGTATAAGAACTTCAATCCAAACCTGGTAAAGCACAAACATGTTTTTAATTGATAATGTCATTTAAATATTAATTTTTTAATTACCACATGAAAATTTGCCCCAGTCATGACCAGGTTTAGATAAGGATCTATCTAAAAGACGTAATCGACGACTATCCATGGGGATATTTTTGTCATTCTCCGAGTTCACTGCATTGACTTCCCTCTCTACAGCAGAGGCCGTAAACAATGGGCAGAGGAAAAACTGGCTGAGTCTAAAACAAAGCAAATCATGTCATACTATTCAGTATCTCATACATTTGTCTAATAATGTACAGTTGACATAGATCATAGAAAATATGAGTTCCTACTTAGATTATTGTAATGGAAACTAGAGCTGTCATCCTATGCATAACTAATACCATCACAGATGCAAGGAGTTTATACATATATTGTTTTAGTTTCAGTTAAAGTGACCTCAACTTTTTATGTATGACTTTTAATTTCAACAGACATATACCATTCCCTTGTTAATTGTTCCACACCTACATGTTTCCTAATATATCCTAATAATTGCTGGATTGTCTACTGAGAATGATGTTGGCTGGATTAACTACTGAGAATGGTGTTGGCTGGATTGTCTACTGAGAATGATGTTGGCTGGATTAACTACTGAGAATGATGCTGGCTGGATTAACTACTGAGAATGATGCTGGCTGGATTGTCTACTGAGAATGACGTTGACTGGATTGCCTACTGAGAATGATGCTGGCTGGATTAACTACTGAGAATGATGCTGGCTGGATTAACTACTGAGAATGACGTTGGCTGGATTGTCTACTGAGAATGATGTTGGCTGGATTGTCTACTGAGAATGACGTTGACTGGATTGCCTACTGAGAATGACATTGGCTGGATTGTCTACTGAGAATGACGTTGGCTGGATTAACTACTGAGAATGATGCTGGCTGGATTAACTACTGAGAATGGTGTTGGTTGGATTGTCTACTGAGAATGATGTTGGCTGGATTAACTACTGAGAATGATGCTGGCTGGATTAACTACTGAGAATGATGCTGGCTGGATTAACTACTGAGAATGATGTTGGCTGGATTGTCTACTGAGAATGATGTTGGCTGGATTGCCTACTGAGAATGACATTGGCTGGATTGTCTACTGAGAATGATGTTGGCTGGATTGTCTACTGAGAATGATGTTGGCTGGATTAACTACTGAGAATGACGTTGGCTGGATTGTCTACTGAGAATGGTGTTGGTTGGATTGTCTACTGAGAATGATGTTGGCTGGATTGCCTACTGAGAATGATGTTGGCTGGATTAACTACTGAGAATGGTGTTGGCTGGATTGTCTACTGAGAATGATGTTGGCTGGATTAACTACTGAGAATGATGTTGGCTGGATTGTCTACTGAGAATGATGCTGGCTGGATTGTCTACTGAGAATGGTGTTGGCTGGATTGTCTACTGAGAATGATGTTGGCTGGATTAACTACTGAGAATGATGTTGGCTGGATTAACTACTGAGAATGATGTTGGCTGGATTGTCTACTGAGATAGGACACTGTCTATATATATTAAAAGTACAACTAAAATATTTTAATATATTGTATTAAACTTTCAACCAAAAATATGAAGAAAATTGTTTTAATGTTAAAGAAGTATATTATAAATACAGTACAAATATTGTACTTATCAGCCAAGAAGCCCAGTCATAAGCTCTCCAATACTTAATAGTCTTAAATTATAAACCAATACAATTTCCTGGTCTTGTAATGCACACCCCCTGATTATAAGAAACAATAAGCCAGTCCCTTGGGTTGTTGAAGCATAAATAAAGTATGTTTGGGACAAGCACGATGACTTTTTATTTACACAATACATACCTGTCCAGGGCACCATACAGGGAGTCTGGTGCCACATCAAAATAGTAGGTAGTGTGTTCAGGTCCAGTTGAAGCATTGCAAAGGCCCCCATGCTCATTCAGAAACTACAATTCAATAATGGAAAGCAGTAAATAAGAGGAAATCCGTCTCATACATGTACACCACTCAACATGTTTTTCTATTAAATATGAAGATTGGATTGATAAGAACTCAATATGTTGAGAAGTTCTCAAGATAACAATAATTCAAAACGAGATGTGACATATTTGGACTTGAAGCTGTTGGTGCAACAGAACACAAGGTGAGAGGAGAGATGGACATAGAAATGTATGTCCACAATTAAAATGGGCAGTGGATGGAGTAGGATGAAAATATCTGCAAGTTTAATTAAAATTGAATAATTCCTGCATCAGATATTGTACAAAAAATAACCAATCAATCAGATTACAGACTCATTAAATATGTGCAAAACTTGCTGAACATATAAATCATGGAATGGACCTCAGCATCAAGCAAGTTTCATGAAAATCATATCAATCTTTTAGAAGATATTAGGGAGAAGGAAACAATGAAAAAACTCAAGACAGCTGACTGGCAGCCAGCTGATAGAAACCAGTTTTAAATTTTGATCATGTACCTAAAATCTAAGAAATTATTTAGCTACAACTAAAAATTTTGATAAATATTGTACAAAAGCACAAAAGTACAAAAGCTAAGGTAAACAGAACACCTACATCTCAATATGGGGACATAATTACATGCATATAACACATAATTTCACTTCACACATTTGATAAGGGAAACTTCTGTTTACCATGCCTATATCTTACCTTATCATACTCATTCTCACTTTCATACTGGAAATAAGACAAACACAAGTGATTATATCAAAGAGATAGTCAGTATATATGTAAAAACCTTTATAAATTCTTACGGATACAAAAAGTTTTACCTTCTTGTAGGAGTTCTCCTGTTCATACTGAAAGTAATACAAGATTTGTACATCTCAGTTAGGAGCAAAATACATAAACTTTTAACCTTATGGATTTATCAACATGTTATATAAACAAATCATCCTTGGTCCCATTAACAGTTAAGCATATATACTGCACCACTGGCAGTTTGTAACCATCTTTAGTCTAAAATCTTAATGGTCGTAGGAAATTTGATAAGGTTACTGACACTCATCTGGTAATACATATAAGTATTTCATATACTAGCAGTAAAACAGAAACAGAAAAAGAAAACTATTTAATATATGTTCAAACTAAAAACTTAACAGGTGCCCCAATGGATGAGTGCTTTTCTGTATAAATTTTACGATAATATAATTAACCTACCTTCTTTGAGCCTAAAAACAACATGTGTTCACAGAAATGAGCGAGGCCTTGAACCTCCCAGGGATCTGACATGGCACCTGTGTAAAACAGTGTATAGAAAATTAATACAAAACACAAACTCCCCTACCCTTCACCAAACTGGGAAGAAAATTGAAGATGAGACAAAATACATGACATATCTAATACTGCATGTTAGTGCAACATTTTGAATATGTAGGCAAGTAAATTGTTACTTACCTGTAGCTATGAATATGAAAAAACTGATAACCAATGAATACATTGAAATATCTGGCTACTGTCAGGGGCAACCAACACAATATATACATTAAAGAACATACCAGGTACGTAGTACCAAAAAAAATTAAAATACAGTGTTTATATCTCTGTAAATAAGTACACTGTAACACAAGTCGCACAACTGCAATAAGAAAGAAAATTGGTGCACTCTGATTTTTGTCTGCAGTTGTGATAATGCCAGAAAGTCTATTAATTGCCTGATGCATCACCGATGTACAGAACATGTTGTAGGAAAATAATATACATTACAATGGGCTTCATTGATTCACTTCAGTGGTTTGCAGTGCAAATGTTACCTATTGGTAGTAATGATGTAATTCACACTGGAATATATAAATGTTTATGGACTGTAAAATAAATATAGATACTGTATAGCAGAAAGGTACAGATCCTTGATAATCTCTACACCTTTGCTCATAGTCAAAATCAACTGAATTACACAGAAATCAATGCCATATTCTTCATAAGTATCGAGAGACAATAGCCCTACTTTTTTTTAATTGAATATCACTCCATATTTTTATCATTTATATCAAGTGCTTAATACATATATTCATTATTTTACTCATGACTGATTAATGTTTATATCCAGGTTACTAACAACATTCAAAATCATGCGAAGTATGAAACAAAAATGTTTCTCTACATATGGAAATTGTACAAACATTGAATAATCAGAATTAATGGTCAAACTTTCAAAAACTCGACTGGACATAAAATTTATCCTTGATTGATATTTTCTTTACAATTATGGTAAATTTTCCATTAGTACACACAAAATCAACTAAATATTGTTGAACCTGTTCCAATTCTAAGATACTGTGTGAAAATGGAGTTTGATCTATCAGGGTACTGCCCAAAATCAAAACAAAATGTTTATTAACATGATTATAATATGATTATCTTTTGAAATACTACATGAATTCCACTTATAAATGCTAAAGTGATGAACTAGCAGTGGTTATGACTACACAAATGTACTCTTGTCAAGTTTGTGTCAGCTAGCACAAGCAATCACACTGAATCAATTGCTAATGAAGTGACGTCTATTTGTATAATTTGGGGCATCAGTGGTAGTTGGTGGTAGTTTGCGCTAAAATACTAGTCAAAGAGGAAATGTCAGTCCTAGTGTGATTATCTTACCTATGTGGACATCAATGGCTGCTGAAGACTTTTCCGTATCTGGATCACTGATGACCATAATTTTGAGACCATTTGTCAACTCAAGACCTCGATACTGTCGCTTATCCTGAAAGGACTTGATGATCTTGTCATGGTTTAAAGTTCTAGTAATGAACTTTAATCCTTTCATGGTGTGCTTTGCTGTCATCTTTTGTCCATCAGTGTCTATTAGATAACAATAAAATATAAAATCAAAGACACTGATTCATGTTTCCATCTCTTTATCTCAGATAGGAACATAGACGTAATAAATCTAAAAACTGTATTATTAAGGAAATTCTTCTGTAATATCTTAACTATCTAGTGATAATCACATTGGATATAGGAGATAGAGCTCAATACCTGAAACTCGTACTCCCGGATTACAAGTTTTGCTGTCACAAGAACCTTTCTGATGAAAGCTAACAGACATGTAAGCAGAGAATAAAGCTACAGATTCGATGTTAAGGCTATGTCTTCCATATCCTTTGTATTTACCTTCCATGACGGGATTCAATATTTATTACAAGAAACACCATCTATGACCACAGATAACCAGGACACTCTGTCAGGAATCATATTTTAATGTATCACATTGGTGCTGATATGTACTTTAGATAATCTCCAAGTACTAATCAGTGCACATAGATTATGATATTTCACTAAGACTTGACTCTGGATCATGTCTAATCAACTGAAAACTATTATGCTATGGTGATGCCTTATTTAGCATGGAAATGAAGGATGATCAACCTACAAATGCATCAAGTTTCAGTTTTTGGCCCAGAAGTTTAACAAATCTTTTTGGACCTTTCCAATGCCTTTGAATTCATGTAAACTTGTCAGCTCCAGCAATAGTCTATTTGTATTGAAATAGTTACTGTATAAAAGATACATCAGTGCTTATGAAATAACTTTAAAATGTAAATGACACTGACTTTGGAATTCAATAATAATACAAACTTATTCTTGGCAATGTACTGTAACAGATGACTCATACGTTTGTATGAAGTTTGCCATGGAATAATTATTCAACTAGACCGAAAACTGTATGTGAATTTTACCAAGATATTTTTCTTCTGGGCCTTTATATTTGCATGTACTTATTTTGATGTACAATATCACATACTGTGACAAAAAATAGTCATTAATAGATCATTAACTTTGTTAAAGGTTTTAAGAAATATTTTAAGCAATGTATTTTTTGCTGCAGAAGCTCACCTTCATAAAAACAAAAAACAATCCATAAGTTTTTTCTAGCTTCATTATTTTACAGTGCAATTTCGTTTTCAACTATTGCAAAGATCAAAGACATGACGATAACAAAACCTTCAGTTTGCTGGGCTAAACACTATCATCTCGAAATAGCCCACATTTTTTTCAAAACTTGTGTGATAACACAGCCATAAAACACATGTACTTGTGGACTCAAATTCAGTAACATTTAAAAATAACACATAACCCTTCTACCTTTACGTTTTTATAAGGCTACTGTGTTGTTTGTTATTTTTAAATGCAATTGAAATTTAGTACACAAGTACCATCATATACGAAAGAAACATTATTTTTATTTTAATGAGGTTTCGTGGGGGAAAATCGCAATATCTTCACAAGTAATAACATATTTCAACATGCTCACAACAAAATAAGATGTCGATAGATACAGACCTACAAATTGAGAGGTGAGGTACCGGGGAGATCTGACCGACTAATGGCAGAAACCAAAGCTTTTCAGAGACCACGACTGACATTGCATCGCTTCAGTGTTTGTTTTGTAGGCAAAAGACATATCTTTAATAAGCGATAAAGTGAAAGTGAATTAATTTGAGATATTCGGGCATCGTAGAGTACTCAACAACCGAAGATGTATCAGAGGGTTCCCCCTCCTGTAGCTACCGAAGGCAAAGAAAAAGACGCAGAGAGCAAAGAAGATGAAAAGTCTAGCGAGAGGGCACCGAAAAATGTACCAACTAAGTTATGGGAGGTAATTAAGTCAAATATGATATCTCTTTGGATCATATTACCAATAGCAGGTTAGGCACACTCCTATATCAGCATCATGGACGTATAATACAGAGGGATAAGAATTCGTCTGCCTTTTTGTGATGTTGTAGCGAAGAAATTAAAGTGAAACAAAGTTGCTGTTTTTATAAACCATTTTGTTCCAAAAGTACACTACTTATCTTGTAACAAATAAATTTTGTTAACCTTTGTTATTTGTAAAACAAAATGTATGTTTAAGCTATCTACCACTGAAATACCGTCCTGTATTGCATACCTATATGTCTGTCTGAAATATGGAGAAAATTATTTTTATATTGATAGCATTAATTACTAAAAATTGAGTAATTTTCCAATTGATTGGTGTAACTTTTGTAATACATCTTTTTTATTCATCAGATATTTTGCCACGAAAATGAGCCTCACGTCTCTGTGGCTGACAAAATGGCTCTGGTCAGGTCAGTCAGCTATGTATATATGGTCACATTTAGATTACTGGAAAAGAGCAGTAAGAAGTGGTAGGGGGCCTTGACAGCTTCACAAATCAGTGAACAGTTACAAAAGTTAACACCGTAGAAGTTATGTTTTGGGCCTAGAGTCTTATCAGAATCAAGACGATGTCTTCTCACTTAGCCTGCATTTGGTTGGTATTTACCTAAAAGTAGGTTTTCCTGTGCAGGTTAAATGATACTTTGTTGGTATTAAACAATAGGTCTTGATCTTATTTACAGTAAAGACTATCAGAGTGAGTTCTTCAGATCTATTACTAATCGTCAACCAGTTTCGTCCTCTGTGGGCTTCAGTAAGATGACAAACATAAGATTTCTTAGACCTTAAAGTACATAAATTGCAACACCCTATTCTATTAATAGTAGACATGGTATTATGACGTATATATAGTAGCAAGCTGTAAATCATAATAATTACCCCTAACAATTATAACTATATTAAATAATTCTATCACAGTTATGAAGTTCATGTGCATCTCCTTTGGGTCTCCTCAACCAATAAGTTGCCTTCTGGGTTCAACACAGAATCTTATTAAGTTCAATTGATCCTTTGTAAGGCTCTCAAAAGGCCTTTTCTTCCTTTGAGCTTTCCCCTCCTCTTTGGTATTATCTGTTACCCCTTCCACTTCTATGGTGTAAACAGTATATTCCTGACATTGATGTCTTAAGAAATCTGCATTTCTTTCACAAGATCTTAACAAATAATACATATGTACAAGGTTTTTATTACAGCATGGTTAGTGTTGTCATGACTCCATAAGGTCTTCAAGCTTATTTATGTTTTCCCACAGAGAATGCAGGGTATTCTCTGTCTGGTTCCTTTGTACAATTTTTTTTTGGTGTTGACCATTTTATGAAATCACACGCAAGCCTTCCAGTTGCTGTGTCTTCAGAATTCTGATGAAGATTTCTTCCAGAGCTGACAGTTCATGTTTATATTATACAACAAATAAAGTAAATATCTGTTACATATTAAGGATGTAGTTTGATTACACAATCATGATTTTGTTTTCACGATCACATCAAACTTTGCTTAATAAAGGTGTTTTGAAGTATCAATAATACTATTAGAATAATCAAATTTGTTTGAAAATAAAAATTTTATCTTTAAGATAATTCAGTATTTATATGTTTGGGTTCATTCCTGATTTCCACACACTTATTCTGTAACTAATCTGTACATTTTGGTATATCTCTTAATTCTCTCTCTTGTTTCATGATAAGTGACAAAAAACACTATGTGTGAAAGTCACACAGGTGTTACATATGCCATGCAGGCTAGGAGATACCAAGTAATTTTCAGATGTAGTGAGAACGAACTTATCCCTCTGTGTTATATATCCCTCCATGTATATATGTGTAATGTCCTGCATGCATTTGAGTAACAGTTACTCGAATGTGGGATAATTTGAATTATACTCACTTAAGTTCTTTTGAACATTTGCAACAAAAACTGGGGTCACTTTTTTAATATGGCTTAATATACAATCAGCCATCACATGCATTTCAATGTTGTATCATCTCTACTTCAGTTCTGGACCATAATGTATTTTGGAGTAGCCATTTTGTTCAGCTGTATCACATGAACTATATCATTGCTTTGCGTGACCTCGCATCCAGATGATTTGGGTTGTTGTAACATATCACACTTGTAGAAAAAATTTTAAAAAGTTGTGGTTAAATCCATTCACCTTGAAATATTATGAGAATATATTTCATTTGCAAATTTGTGTTTTTCTTAGTACACATTACATGTCGAACATCAAAAAACCAGAAATGATGAAGTAACCAATCAATCCATCCCTGGATACCAGTGTTTTGTTGTCATCTATCAAGTGAATAAAATTTGACCAGGAATAATAGGCCATGCCTTCTTGCCATTTTTTTACTTTAAAAGTTCAAATATGCACGTCTTATATTGGAAAATGACAATTTTATGATTTTTTGATGACTCATTTCTGATTTTAATTAACTAGCAAATTGCAGACCGACAGATGAAAAGAAATATTTATTTAAATTTTTGAATATTTTTTGTAATAAAAAAGAAGATTACCAAGATATATGGCTCAAACATTGAACACTTTAATCTAAGCCCTTAGAAAAGGTGCACAAGTAAACATTGATATCAACCATTTTCGCATGCCGATTTCATTTAATATTTTTTCTCATCTACATGTCATTCCCGTTTAAATGGTGATTTAATATAATTTGTTTGTACAGCATTGTACTTCTAGGTCACTGTGAGCTAACTCAAGCATCTGTGAAATAGTGGTGTCATGAAAAATGTAATTGCGTACACATTTCCGATACACATGTTAGTCATTTCAATATGAGGTCATATCAGTGGATATTTTTTTAGGAAATTACTAAGGTTTTACTAATCAGTTTTTTTTGATAAATCTTATAGTATGAAGGTATTTCAATTCATATAAATATTTGTCATGTTGAAATTCAACAACATAGCTTAGCTAGATACAAATTTTTATGGTCTGTCTGAAACTAATGCACAATGGATACATTTCTACACAAAAATTAAATAATGTAGGTTAATAAGTATTGTAGTACCGTTAATATACTAATATTGCACCTGTCTATAAAGAGGGACCCAAATACAACTACTGCCCAATATTGTTGACCCGTAGCACCTGTAAAAATACTAGAACACAAGTATATGATATCATGAAGCATGCTGATTAACAGAACCTCCTATATCCTCTTAACCATTGCTTCCAATAATGTGAAAAATATTCCTGCCAATCTCAACTGCTAGAACTGCTAGATGATGTTTGAAAAGTCTTGCTGATTCTTTTGAACACATGGGTATTCTTAATATAGATTTCAGCATAGGTTTTAAGGAATTTATATTCACCCATTCCTGTCTCAAAAGATAAATCACTAATTTACCCATTTTATATTTATTCTACATAAATGATATTGTGGAAAGTATCTGTTCATCTTTCAGGTTTTTTGCAGAAAATAAGTTCATGTGTATGTATCACACAATTACATCCTACAGTGATTCCATCTCCCTGCAGAAAGACCTTGACAATATCTCTTGCCACATGGGAGAGGGAATTGCATTGCATCCTTAAAGTGCCAAATTCTCTCTGTACACAAATCTCGAACTGCATCTTTACCAGCTTCATGTCCAGGTACTGGATCATGTAGATCAGGCTCAGTACTTTGTGTTAAGATCATTTTAGATCAGGAGTAGGGGGCACTTACAAGATATTATTAACGGTGCCAATATAATAGTTCCCATGGTTTTTCTGGGCTGTAACTTAACAATTTCTTCAACCAAGATCAAAGGAAAAGTCAATAAAGCCCTGGTCCAGGAGAAACTGGAAAATGCAAGCTGAGTATAGGATCTGCACATCAAAAAAGACAGATCAGATTGAGACGGTACAAAAAACACCAGACTGTTAGATTTTTGATGAATGGACACAAGAGATGTAACATTCAGTGCGAGTGACATGCTGTAGCTGGACAACTTAAGTGACGTAGTCTAACAAGATAGGTGATTCTCGTCTGACTATGGAGTACAATGTTATCAATAAACAGATCATACAAAAGCTACATATACTTCAATCTTAAAACCACTCAGTTGGTCATCTAGACATTCTCATTCTTTCCTTTTCCATACTATCTCCTGCAAAACATCTGTCCATATATCTTTCTTCACTCACACTACCCCCAAAATTGAATTTGCCTCTTCCAGACTTCACAACCACTGGCAGTACTATACTTTCTTCCTTCAAGACTAGACTTGCTGACTACAAATATGATTAGTCATCATACTACACTAGACTTGCCACTAGGTAGAAGAAAAAAAAATCAGGAGAAGTACTCCATGGATCATTTTCAGTTTTCATATTCATTCTGGTTGATTTTGGTCCCTAAATTTGCACTGTCTCATGCAGATCCAAAAACAAACAGGCAGGTGTCCATCTTGGATTATGAGTATAATAATTTGTTATTGTATTGGAGAAATGTGTGATGGATCATTCTCAAATTTCTTATATAAGTTCCCTCTGACCCTTGTCATGCCTGCAATATTGCTGAAAGCAAGCCATCTTTGGATTTGACAATGTGATTTATTAAAGCTATCATTCACAGGAATGCTATATGGATCTTTTACAGATAATACACACAGACTTCCCCTGATTCCTACTAATGACTCTTGGTTATGGGATTCATTAGAAACAGAAATTTAGGGTTTTTTGAATAAGGAAAGATTGTCATCCCTATTTCTTGAGAAGTACTGAATGGATAATTTTCAAATTTCTTATGAACAATGCCCTTGGTCCCTAGTTGTGCCCTTTAGATTTTGGGAATGATGAAAAAACAAAGTGACTGACAATCAGCCATGTTGGATTTTGACTAGGAAATATTTTTTATGCTTTTTCATGAGAAGCACAGGATGGATCTTTCTCATATTTTACTTCTAGTTCCCCTTGATTCTTAGTTGTGCCCTTTTGATTTGGAAAAACAAAATGACTGACAGGTGGCCACCTTGGATTATGAAAATTGTTCTCACAATTTCATGAGATAGTCTTGATGGACCTTTTCCCAATTCTATATCAAAGTTCCCTTTTGGTCATTAGTTGTGTCCTCTTGATTTAGTCTGTTGGCAACAATCTTGGATGTTCAAGCTTATTATTATCACTTTTTCTTATAGGAATTTTCAAGACATGTAATAAAGAGGAAAAACAAAGAAAAAAGGAGAAGGCTACAAACTTCAACTTTAATATGGTTATATGAATTCATGAATAAGCTGTGATAAATAATGTAATTTATATTGTATGTTGTTGATATGGCTTTATCCTGTATCTATATAATGAATTGATTGTTCATATCCTTACTATTTTAATAGTTGAACAATCATGTTTTGTTTTACCTGAACATGTATTTGTAAGTAGTGGTCACTGACAGAGCTGGACATGTATTTGTAAGTAGTGGTCACTGACAGAGCTGGACATGTATTTGTAAGAAGTGGTCACTGACAGACCTGGACATGTATTTGTAAGTAGTGGTCACTGACAGAGCTGGACATGTATTTGTAAGTAGTGGTCACTGACAGACCTGGACATGTATTTGTAAGTAGTGGTCACTGACAGAGCTGGACATGTATTTGTAAGTAGTGGTCACTGACAGAGCTGGACATGTATTTGTAAGTAATGGTCACTGACAGAGCTGGACATGTATTTGTAAGTAGTGGTCACTGACAGACCTGGACATGTATTTGTAAGTAGTGGTCACTGACAGAGCTGGACATGTATTTGTAAGTAGTGGTCACTGACAGACCTGGACATGTATTTGTAAGTAGTGGTCACTGACAGAGCTGGACATGTATTTGTAAGTAGTGGTCACTGACAGAGCTGGACATGTATTTGTAAGTAGTGGTCACTGACAGACCTGGACATGTATTTGTAAGTAGTGGTCACTGACAGAGCTGGACATGTATTTGTAAGTAGTGGTCACTGACAGAGCTGGACATGTATTTGTAAGTAGTGGTCACTGACAGAGCTGGACATGTATTTGTAAGTAGTGGTCACTGACAGAGCTGGACATGTATTTGTAAGTAGTGGTCACTGACAGAGCTGGACATGTATTTGTAAGTAGTGGTCACTGACAGAGCTGGACATGTATTTGTAAGTAGTGGTCACTGACAGAGCTGGACATGTATTTGTAAGTAGTGGTCACTGACAGAGCTGGACATGTATTTGTAAGTAGTGGTCACTGACAGAGCTGGACATGTATTTGTAAGTAGTGGTCACTGACAGAGCTGGACATGTATTTGTAAGTAGTGGTCACTGACAGAGCTGGACATGTATTTGTAAGTAGTGGTCACTGACAGACCTGGACATGTATTTGTAAGTAGTGGTCACTGACAGAGCTGGACATGTATTTGTAAGTAGTGGTCACTGACAGAGCTACATGTATTTGTAAGTAGTGGTCACTGACAGAGCTCATGTATTTGTAAGTAGTGGTCACTGACAGAGCTGGACATGTATTTGTAAGTAGTGGTCACTGACAGACCTGGACATGTATTTGTAAGTAGTGGTCACTGACAGAGCTGGACATGTATTTGTAAGTAGTGGTCACTGACAGAGCTGGACATGTATTTGTAAGTAGTGGTCACTGACAGAGCTGGACATGTGACAGTTTTATCAGACTTTGACAAATTTGCTTGATTAGTTCAAATTTTCTTTCTTAGGCAGTTTTAGATTGGAGAAACTCCTTTGTCATTTTCTGAAGAACGTTGTTGAATGTTTTACTTTGATCTCTTAAGATGTGTGAAATGAAGCCTGCATCGTTGTTATATGTCAATGTCCCTTCACCACATTCTTGCATTATATAATTCTTTCCTGCTGTCCATTAATCTTTTTCTTCCTCCAAATTGAAGAGTTATGTGTATATCAGCATGTATGTAACTACAGAAAAAAAATCATACTTGGAAAGAATAAATAAACAAAAAAAAATCATACTTGGAAAGAATAAATAAACAAACAAAAAAAACTTGGAAAGACTTGGAAAGAAAAATAAACAAAAAAAAAATCATACTTGGAGAGAACAAATAAACAAAAAAAAATCATACTTGGAAAGAATAAATAAACAGAAAAAATCATACTTGGAGAGAACAAATAAACAAAAAAAAATCATACTTGGAAAGAATAAATAAACAGAAAAAATCATACTTGGAAAGAACAAATAAACAGAAAAAAAATCATACTTGGAAAGAATAAATAAACAAAAAAAAATCATACTTGGAAAGAATAAATAAACAGAAAAAATCATACTTGGAGAGAACAAATAAACAAAAAAAAATCATACTTGGAAAGAATAAATAAACAGAAAAAAACAGAAAAAAAATCATACTTGGAAAGAATAAATAAACAGAAAAAAAAAACTTGGAAAGAAAAATAAACAAAAAAATACTTGGAAAGAATAAATAAACAAAAAAAATCATTCTTGGAAAGAATAAATAAACAAAAAAAAAATCACATGGAAAGAATAAATAAACAGAAAAAAATCATACTTGGAAAGAATAAATAAACAGAAAAAATCATACTTGGAAAGAATAAATAAACAAAAAAAAAATCATACTTGGAGAGAACAAATAAACAGAAAAAAAATCATACTTGGAAAGAATAAAGAAAAAACTGTAGAAAGGGCTTCAATGACTTCATGACTCTGTGAACAAACACAAAAGATATTGCAGGGTTAGTTTTCTGTAAGTCTTGTTTCCAGTACCTTTTAGTATATATAGCCTAGGGCAGAAAGGATCAGACAAACAGGTCTGCTGGAATTGGAAAAATTATAACTAAATATTTCTTTATAGAGATTCAAGGTTCTGGAGAGGAAGACTGATGACATAACCAGAAGATCTACAGAAAAAAGAATGAAGTATATGCAGAAATCATTACTTAAGAAAGGTACAATTTGTGTTTAATTCTAAGGATTGCTGACAGCATTTGTAATTGCTTCAAGCTTAATCATTTAGCATGCTTTCTTTTCTTATTCATTGAAACCCTGTAGAAATGGAAACAATCATTAAAGATCCTCTATTTAATAACTAATTATAAGGATGGGTAAATAGATCCTCCAGGGATATCAGAAAATTATTACCTTGTAGGCGAACCCTGTCTGACTTTCATTCTATTGTCATTTATGTAAACAATATAGAATTATGAATTCAAATGTTATTTACTATGTTGAATGTAGTTATGATTTATAATCTCTACTGAATGGTTTTGTAGTTCAGGAGGAGATAACTCTACCAGAAGACAGAGACATTCTTCGACAGCATGATGTGAAGTTTGGACCTCCTGTATGTGATGACACTGAACCACATAATAGGAAAAGGAAGTGGCATGCATCCAACAATACAATTGCCAGCACACAAGAGTACTTATAATTAGAAAGTTTACATTATGCTCCCTTATTAAATGAGAAAGGGGTGGGGCTGAGGGTGGGGGACAGCATACAGCATTGCCAAATTCCATCTTTTCTTAGCATGTACAGACCAGATTCAAAGTTCATTATGGCAGCCATTTTGTAGCATATTGTGTAACCATAATTTTTCTGAAAATCAACTATTTAAACTTCTCAAGTTCCACCAGAGAGATTCAACTAAATTTTGTCAGAAATTATCCATTATTTACATTTATATATGGCCAACATCGAAAAATTGGATATAAAACTTCTTCTCCAATTCCAGTAAGTAATTCAACATGCACTACTGAAATTTGAAATTGTTCCAATTATCTCATAATGATTCCAGCTACCTCCACTGCTAATAGTTATTTTATGGTTAAGACCCACAACACTTTTTTATGATTAAATGTTATTTTGAACAGAGAAGTAAATATTGGTGATGAAACAAATAAAAATATCAGATGTGAATAATGATATTTCCAGTGGTCAGAGTTCATCAGGTGGTGCATCCTGGGAGAACATCAAGCCTTATTTGACTGCAGATGATCACCTTCGAAGGCCAGATAAGGATTGTTACAAACTGGAGTCGGGGTTGGAGTCAAAGATTACCTCCGCTATTAAAGATGGAGATTTCTCGAGGGCTGAGGAACTAAGTGATCACTTGTCAACTAGAGAGGTGAGTTTTGTTTGGAAAGATCAGTAGGAAATGTCAGTATGGTAATTCTCTTAAACATTTTATATTACATGTATTGAAAAGAATATCTTTCATGCCATTGAACATTGATCAGAAATATCAGTGAGCTGGGAAAATGTTGTACTGTGTATAATTGAAAGGTATCACATACTCCCAACCTCTGTGTTATTGAAAAAAAACCAGCAACAAGGATAGTTTATATTGTTAGAAATAACATTGTGAGAAAATCTGTCGGCAGAGTTGAAATGATTTTATCAACAAATCAAAAAGACATAATGCTAAAGATTTGGTGTGTTGAATCAGATGCACTTGTCATATTTAGCAATAAAACAAATGTTGTGCCACTCTTAACACCTCACCTCATATAACAATATCAATCAAGTCTATTGTAAAAGAGGTGAGGTGTCTGATGTTAAACATTAACACAAAACATTATTTAACACTATATTGAACAATTTCACATTTCTATTGTACATATCATTGTTGTAAATCTCTCTAAAGTACAAAAGATATATTAAAGGTTGAGGGTGGTAGGGTTTCCCTACTACTCAGGTTGTACATGTATTCATATTAACATAATAATGTTATTTCTTTGTGTTCTAACAAGAATAGACACGGCTTGTTGTGGTCCTTAAATGATATAGGAACATCTTTTTATAATTCCTAGGAGTATCGTAGGAGAATATTAACATACAGTAAGCACTGAGTACCTATATATAAAGTTAATTGAATAGATGTTCAGATACCTTATAAGTAATATATATACATCATCTTGAAAACATTGTGTATGTAAACAGAAAATATTAACAGGACAAAATATTTTTTTTACTCTTAGTAACAAAAACAATTGCCAGAAGAGAGTCAGCTAGCTTGGAAACATTAGTGACACAAGTATTTTGTCCTGTTGATACCGGTATTTCCTGTTTACATGTACATTTTGTATATATAAATATACTTCATATCTGAAAATAATCTACTTGAAACCTTTCCCACCAGATAGCCAACTTATTAAATATCTGTAGTTGATATTTTGGAGTTATATACATGGTCATCAACATAATTGTAGTGTGTGTAACGGACTGTTTGGGGAACAGCTGAAGGCGGCTTTGCTTGTTGTGGTCACTGTTGTTGTCTATCATGATTACTAGTGTGTTAAGGTTTAAAGATTTCAGAAGTCATTCAGGGTCCATGGGCCAATATAATTTTATTATATGTATGTGCCACATTACTGCTATACCTTATACATAAATTATCAAAATTAAATAGTAATAAAGTATATGCCGAAGACACTTTAACATATAAAATGAATAAGATACGTCCATTACATTGAATATAGGGGACATGCTCTCACAAATGTGAACTTGCCCTGGTACTCTTTATCTTTGTACAAAGGTACAGAAATATGATAAGTGAAAATCAACAAAGGGCAATAATTGATTGAGGTGACATATCAGTAGAATCAGAAATTTTGTCTTGTTATAAAAAAGGTGATTAATGATAAAGTAAGACATTTAGCAAACACTGATAAATTACATACAGCAGGTGACCAAATATAAATAACCTGAAAATAATGTGCTGAAAAAAGGATATACAAACGTAGGTTGGATATATTACATTCAGGCCTGTCTAGTCACAAATCATCACTCATGTACAAACAGATTTCTTAATCCAAGATCAAGGAATGGTATCATGATTAAGACTTTTGGAATGTTTCTGATCATTAATTTCCCATTTCCTTTTGTCATTCACAAAAACAGTAGAAGCCCCCTCTGATGGTTATCACAGGTAAAATTGGTCTTTGTAGACGGGTTGTCTAATCATATGTCATCATCACATCATGTTTCAGTGCCAAAGGAATGGGGAGCTGACTTGCTCCATAACACACGTTACAGTTTGGATGAAAACTTTTCCTAATCACCAGCCTTGCGTAATGTGTTAATGGTTTTGGTGTTTTGTTGTATTCAGTCAACCATTTAACAAAATGTTTTTGCCAGTCATCATTTTCATTAAAACGAGATTTTTGATTTGTAACAAATGATTCACTATCCAAATCTTCTGCCATTCTCCAAATTTTCAAAGATTTTTCCAAGTTAGTGTCTTTACACATGAGGAATAAATTTTGCTTTAAATTGCTGCGAGTTTGTGACAAATCTGCAGTGGCTTTTATGAGTACAGACACTAGTGTATCAATGGAGTTGTGTGTGGTGTTCCACAGTAATCCTGCAACACCATCCTCTAACCAAAATGAATCGAGATTAATCCATCCACGACTTTTCTCCAAAAGTAACCACAGACACTGGGAATTTTTTTGCTGGAAGGCCACAGTTATTGAGTTTTTGTTGAAGTCATTGTTCCTGTCAGGGTCAGCATGATATTCAAGAAGTTTGGCAACACAGCGAAGAAAACCCTGTCGACAAGCTAAGTGGAGTGCAGTATTCCCTCCCTGTACTTGTATTCTACCATTCACATCAATCCCAGATTGTAAAGTTTCCTCTAACAGGTTTACATTGTTTTGTAGGATGGCAGTTTCCAATTTCTTGGCAGGACTTAAATTGCTTTGCAGGATTGACAGCAAATCCATAGCTCCGAAGTGTTTATTTCATGCTGAAAAATAAAGTTGACCAATGTTAGAGTTTTTTATTTACAAATGAAAACTTTGAAACTTTTTTGTGAAAACATTGATCAATTCAGAGTCTCAGATGAACTGTAACTCCAAGGTATGTTCCCTTCACCTCAGGCTCATGTACATGCATATTCACATGTACCTGTATGTAGGTACACTGTTAAAAAAATGCACAGATAATATACAGTTGAAACTTGTCTTGAAATTGCTTGAGTTGAAATTCTGTTTGAGTCGAAATAAATTTTGAGTCCCGATTATTTTCTCTTCTATATCGAAACTTCGGTTGAGTTGAAGTGATTTTTCAATCCCTTCAATTGTAAAGCAAGGGAAAGGTAATTCATTGTCTTGAGATTAATTCTTGTCAAAACATTGGCACATCCTCTGAAGAAATTGGTCAATACATATACAGAGTAGAAAGTCACTTGTGTGTAACACATGGCTAATTACGGCGTATCGGTCCATTGTATACACAACACTTGGTGTCTTGATGATTAATTGCTAGTTTAATTATGGAATTAAAGGTTGGTTTCTTAGTTAGTGTCACCATTCGGTAGCAGTGACTTACCTGTACGCTAAAATAAAGTAGTGCATTCACACAAAACATGAAAACATTTAGCTTGGTTGCTTGCATATTCAGGAATGATAAAAATGAAACCATCAAACTAGTACAAACTATGTGACGAAATCTGATCCCCACAGTTCAGAAAGAAACTAATTTTGAGCTTGTGAACTAAAGGACTGTTATTGGGCACTTTGCCAGATTTAGCGTTTGGACATTGAAGTGCTGAAACTATTTTTCATTGATAGTCTACATCTGGGCATGATTTGTTACGTCAATGCCTGTACAATGTTTTCTGTCACAGGTAAAAACTTTCTAGTGCCGCATTTTTCATATGTTTATTTAATCATAATAAAGTCATATTGATATGATCTGTGGCTTCACACATCGTTTCTTGTAGCATTTCAAATGCAAATTTCATTTCGTTTTATGTCATTCCGTAAAATATATGATGAACATGTGCCTGGTCAGTAAGGATTTGACTATTGTACACGTGAGTACAACTGCACTTGATTGGAGATGTTATTACACGTTTTGCTATTTGAATGAATAAACACTAAAAGGAGAGAGTAGGATAAATTAATTTGTTTATTTACTGCCATTTCAAATATCAGATCAAACTACGCTGTTTGCGTGCTATCGTAGCCCTACTTCCTTCAACCATAATCAATGTCAGGAAACTGATATCGTCAGCCTTATTTATACATTTGTTTTGTTCAGTCTTCAAATCAAACGGTCACAGCTAAGGACCAAGGGGAATGTGGCACTTGTTATATGTCTAGAAGGAAACCTAAATCTGTTTACATTACAATATTTTTACGCAGTTGGCATTTCATGAGTTGGTAATGACTTTGGTAAAGTTATAACATAGTAATGCCATATAATGGTAAAAATAAGACAGTATGCATATGTGTGAGCTTGGTTGAGGTGGGCCCAGGAAGTATATGGTTAAACCATATTGATCTTTTACAAGTGATATTTCAGATATTGATAAATATTTGTTTAAGTGCAATCTCAAATGTAATGATGGTCCATGTGAAATTTGAGAAAGATCTATCCAGTACTTCTCAAAAATAGCAATAACAAACTTTCATAGTCAAAATCCAAAGTGACCACTTTCAGCCATTTTGTGTTTTGATTAGTCTTAAAATTAAACAGACACAACTAGATTTAGGGACCAAAGGGAACCTACATATGGAATTTTATAGAGATCCATCCAGAACTTCTTAAGAAATAGTTACGGTATAACAAAAAAAAAGAATAAAAACCACAGTCTGGTTGTATTATTGTAACAGTATCATTATTTAATGACAAATATTAGTATTGTTTATATAATTATATTAAGTTACATGTACTAGCGTATTTTTTAATGAAAGGGAGTGAACTCTTACATAACTGTGTATGTATTTTTATTTAGCACCCATGAAACCTGTTTGTCTAGGTTCATAAGTCAGATCTATTTTTATATGTCAAACTGACCGTGGGTCAGTGCGCTCTCATATAAGACCCTGAATAGGACAGACGTGCTTTAGTAGTTTTCCTTGAAGATTTCAATTTCTCATATCCAGTTGCTAGATGTTTGCCCTTAATTTTTACCCATCAACAATAAATATTGAAATGGATCCAGGAGTTGGAGTTTTCGTAAAACGAAGGAGACCCTTAGTAACACACAGTTACATTATAAATACAAATACCAATTGTTACATTGAGATCCATGATTCAATCATTATTTCACATCTTTTCCTGTAAAAGTACCACAAAATGACACTTTCAGTATTAAGGCTTGTTGAATTACAACCTGTAACTGAATAACCTAGTATATTCATAATGTTAGCTGACAAAGTTACACACATCCAAGTACCTGTTCACAAGTATATGTGTTAACGTTTATGACTTGTACACTATATCATATTACTATGCCACAAATTTTAGAGGTTTAACACTGTTACACAGCAGGAGAATTTTGACAGTCACTGTGTTGCAAACTATTGCACTGTATATGTAGAAGTGTATCGTGTATACACATATTTCGTTTACCTCTCTGCAGCTTTGTCTATGTGTGGCACATACATATAAAGTATGGTGTGCACAGGTGTCTGGGTTCTGGAAAGTATGCAAGTTTAGAAGGAGAAAATAGCCCATTTTACAAATACTTTAATAGTATTTATATTTAAATTATCTTGTTTAAGTTACAAGACCCTAACTCATGTAATTTTGTGTAGGCGTCTGTATCTGGAACGTAAACAACCCAAGCAAAATATAGTGGACTGGGTTTACAGTGTTTCTTACAGAAAGCAATGAGCCGTCATGTTTAGGGTCAACATAAGTTATCATACAGTGAAAAGTACTGAAAAATAACCAGAAGTACGCTAGTCAACTGAATTAAAAAGTGTAAAAACTAAAAATTCTTTTATGATTTGACTTACCGTTAAACACCACGCAGAATGCCCCGTATAATTTATTTTCTAAAAATAGGATAGGGGATTTCCTCTTTCAACGTCCATCAAACGCTTGTGTGCTTCAATATGTTTGGCTGCATCGATTCGGTCCGGTTATACATATCTACGTATGTCCGAAGAGCAGGGACGATTAATGTATATATTCCGGAATTCGGGACCCAAAAGTAATTAAATTGGAATAATAATACAATATAAGATAGTAACTGTATGCAATACTGTCGATGTAAACCTAGAGAGAATATGACTTCGAAATGTATATGGTATCCAAAACGATAGGTTTCTATGGCCAAAACAACTTACTAAGAAGTCCGTGCCAAAGCAATGTATTTAGGCACAGTAAAAGCATCCTTTTCTGACTTAATCGATATGATTTCAGAGTTAAAGTATGTTTGCATGGCTTACACCATTCTTCCAACTTGTCAGAATCCGTATAACCAGCTCATGAACTGCTAACGGCGTAGGAATATTGCAAATAATGTAAACAAATTGAGGTTTCCTTCCAGTCTTTCACAAGACGAAAATGGAAAATAGTGGAAAATAAGTATTGAACTACTTTTAATTGGCATTCATAGGCACGCACTTCATGTGTGATTTTCCCTTATCTGTTTGCCCATGAATGCCAACTTAAAAGCAGTTCATGATCTATGGATAAGTTCTAGTATAGCACACTCAGCATTATACACCAACGTTGTAAAACTATTTACAAGAGTAGAGAAATTTCCTCGAAAATCCGTTATATGTCGAATCAACTGCGATATGATGTGGAAACAGGGCTGTTACTGTTGAAGCACTGAATCTGATAATCCAATATATATCTGGTCGACATGATCGGAAAAGTTCTTCTTGATCATCTACCACTTACCATTAGTGAAGCCTAACGATAAAGGAGTCGATTTCAGCTACTACTTTAATTTTCTTACCTGTAGGAAATTAAACTTAGGTGATGTTCACCTAAAATATATCTGGTCATTTCACTTAGTAAAAGTTGATCCGAAATTATGAGTGAATTGAATTGATGAAAAGTTTAGATTTGCCCTTGTGACGAATTTTAGAAGATGATGGAACCATCTTTGAATATATTGATGACGTAGTATCTCAACTTGTGGTTAAATTTTTTTTTTCATTTATTTTCAATAGTACTATTGACGTTACATTTTCTGTTGTTTTTTTTTTCAGTTCGGAAGCAAGATAGCTAAAGCTTTCGATGCTCACAGATATGTTGAAAGAAGAAAGGTAATTAAAGTTGTAATTAAAATATGTTACAGTACTTACAAACACACATTCGTTGGCATGTGTTGTCTGTGAAAGTTTGCAAAACTTTTATTTAAAATTGAGACTTTGTGTTGCTAAAAAATTTGATATTTTAGGCTTTATGTAATAATGATAGCAGTAATTTAAGAATGATGTTTTACACAATGTATGATATGTTTTTTCAGGAAGAGGAAGAATTTAAACGGTCAAAGAAAAAGAAAAGCCTTCATTGGGGGTACGTATGAAGATTGGAGATTGAAGTACTGTTAATTTGTACGGAATTGAATACAAAATGCCATGCTAATGCTCCACCTTGAAGTCAAATACAAAGTAAACAAACCAACTGTTGCTATCACTGCTGCTGATGGTGGTTCTGTTTTTTTCCATGGTACAAGAGCATCATGGGAAGTCGGAAACTTGGCTTTCCCTGGTACAAGAGCACCATGGGAAGTCTGAAACTTGGCTTTCCATGGTACAAGAGCACCATGGGAAGTCTGAACTTGGCTTTCCATGGTACAAGAGCACCATGGGAAGTCTGAAACTTAGCTTTCCATGGTACAAGAGCGTCATGGGAAGTCTGAAACTTGGCTACCGATGTCCGAGTTTACATGTTTGTATGTCGATGTCATTGCAGGTTTCAAGAGAAACAACGGTGGGAAACGAAAGGCAACATGTGACATGCGCAGTTTTCGGACGACGTCGCTTCTTATATACCAATCGCTTTGTCAAGACCACCGTCTCTGAAATTGAAGTGATTGAATCTGTGAAGTCACTTATGACTTACGCTTTCACTTTCACCCGGAATCACATCTTTAGCTGAATCTTACCAACGATATCTTCCCAACGGCATATTGGTTGCATATGTCTTATAAACCTGGGAGTTCAACCATAGGGAGATAAGGAATACTGGATTGCAATTCATTCCTCCTACCTTTATAAACTGCCTCTTAACAAATCAGATTTTGTACAGGTGTGAATATATCTTACTACTAAAATTGTATAACCCATACAAGCGCCATTAGATTTGCATTAAATGTTGATTTAAGTAAGATTCCAAATGTAAAGAGCATTAATAAAATCTGTCGACGGTCCATCCAGAAAGTTCTTTTTAAGTAGGGAGTGTGCAGTGAGATACAGCCACACGAGGCTAACTCAACAAAAATGTCTATTATTCAAATAATTTCATTTTCAGGAGTGGAACTGGCCAAATATGTGGATTTCTCTTTTATATATCAAACCTTGTTTTTTTTATGCTCCCGCCATTGAAAATGTGACGGGGACATATAGTGTTACCGAATCCGTTCCGTCCGTCCGTCCTTCCGTCCGAATTCGGTTTCCGCATCATAACATTAGAATGCCTCAACAGAATTAAGTGATATTTTTGGATTTATGTTGAAATATTAGAAGTCAAGGCAAAGAACGTCAACATCAGAACAAGTATTCTGTAGAACAGATTATCCAATAGCTGAAAGTAGAGTCTTCCTTACATACTTATCAGACCATTCCATAGTGTATCCTAGTGCCCTGTAGTCTCCACATGACACTGGACTTGTGTTTTGAATTGCTTAAACTCCTTGATTTTAAAAGACTGAAATATCACTTGTATTAGCTTCTTTCTACTACTGTCAGTGGTGTTTCCCTACACTCTTCTCGTATAAAAATGCCCAAACAATATTCCATATGGTGGGACGTCCATGTCCAATGAAAACGGGGAAAAATGAAATGAAAACTGTTGTGGAGAAATATTATCTCCCTATACTCTTCTGGTGTAAGAATGCTTGAAAAAATACTCCATATGTTGGGACATCCATGCCCAATGAACATGGAAAAGTAAAATTAATTCTTCTGGAGAAATATTGTCAAGTGAAAATGTGTATACAGTTTCTTACAGAGCAGCACATGTCTTCATGATAATACCCTTTAAACATTTGTTCTCCATATACGTTGAGTACTCTAATGAAATTTAATGTAATTAAGTTTTTCATTGCAATCCTTGAAATCAGATTTCAGTGCACTAACTTCTAAAGGGTTTTCAACAATTAAATGTATTTTTTATGTCACAAATAAAAATCTACGTCAAGCTTTAATTTGCACTGATTTTAAGAGTAGTCACTAAAGCTTGAATTTATTCGACAGAGTTATGCCCCTTGCACTTACAAACCCTCAAACAACTTAAAGTTCCTTCTCATTATGTCAGTCAGACATTTTTAATTTAGATTTGGTATATACATTTATTACACTTTTGTCGGTGAAATATAGAGAAAGATCTCATTGATAAACGTGTTATTTTTTCACTAGTGAACAATAACACTTTTGCTGACTAAAGCCGATGAAAAAAGAGGACACAAATCATTTTTTAAAATGGACAAATCAAAAAGCTCGTTACCAAAAACACAAAATCAAAAAGCTATTGACACGCCCTTCAATTCTTTGGAAGTGCTGTACACTTGTGAAATATGTTTGTTATTACTGAAGACTATTAAATATTGTGTATGTGTTATGGAAAAACACATGTCATATTATTAGTTGGGTTTGGGCGAGGAGGGGGCATTCATGTCATACTGACATATCTAGTTATCACTTTTTCCCAAATACACATTTGGTGGCCAGTTGAAATTCTGAAAGCGAAATTATTTGAATAATTGATGTTTTCATTTAGTTACCCTGTGGGTACAACAATGATATTCTTTCCGTCTCCTGCACTACACGATATGAAATAAGATATTTCTCACGTTTCACTGATATTAGGTTGTTCAGATTGTTATATATAATATTTTCACATCTAAGACAATTAAGACTTATTACAATACAGTCATTTCACGTAATTGCCTTTCGTTATGAACTGCAATTAATTCAGAGAAGAACACTGATACTTTCACTGCAAATAGTCTGATCTGATTGGTGAAAGTAAGTGAAAGTGAATCTTGAAATCTTTTAGCATAAAATTTGCCTGTTAACCACTAAACCCGCTTATATAATATTTTCATATTTATACTAGTGTAATATACTCTGTAGTGTTTGTCATTGGCTCGGTGATATCAAGAGACAATGAAGTTGAATCATCATTGATTGCATCTGCTTTGTATTTTTTTCATTTTAAAACCCGTCAAAATGTAGCCTTTCCGAATTACATGATAAAATGTCTATTTTCTGCCATTACATATGTTACGGCGTGTTTTTTAAATCTAAATTTTGTTTTAGAAACTCTCTTAAAACGAAAGCTCATTTAAGATCCTATGTTTGTTTCGCTGTGAAATACTAAAGGCTTGGTTTTGCATATTTAATTTCGATGAAAGAATAGATTTGTCTTGGTCCAGCTGACACATTATCGAAACAAAGACAGTCATTTGAAGAGATATTAATTATCAACATACTAACAGGCTTTTGAATGGTTAAAGTGACTTACAAGTAACGAAGATCTGATGACAAAGGTCATTCAAACCCTCTGATATCTACAATATACTACGCTGTGCTACTGTGTAGATTACCATGCGCAATGTATGAGTAAACAATTGTCAATACTGTGTGAGGTATTGTGTATGTAAAACACTTAACACAGACTCCATGTGATCAGAAAATTCTTTATTTGTGATATATGTAAACTATCAAATACTATATGCTGTACACCACTCGGCTTATTACACTTTCTTGTTGTTAGTATTATTAAAGAGTTATCCAACATATACAATATCTACATTGACAGGTTACCGGTATCAGGGGCATTCTAATATTTAAAAATTACCGTATTAGATAATGAGAGTATTTACTGGCTATATCAATTAGATATACACTCACCCATTTAAACTTTCAATACAGGCAATGCTGCATTCTTTACATTGATGTTTTACGATTGCAGCTCTCTGATTAATAGTGTATATTTGTATTTTGTGATTTTAGCAACCTGTACAAGTTCCATATGAGGTAGAGTTTCATGTGAGGTAGAGTTCCAAGTGAGGTAGAGTTCCATGTGAGGTAGAGTTACATGTGTTGTAGTTACATGCGAGGTAGAGTTACATGTGAAGTAGAGTTACATGTGAGGTAGAGTTACATGCGAGGTAGAGTTACATGTGTGGTAGTTACATGTGAGGTAGAGTTACATGTGAAGTAGAGTTACATGTGTGGTAGTTACATGTGAGGTAGAGTTACATGTGAGGTAGAATTACATGTGAGGTAGAGTTACATGTGAAGTAGAGTTACATGTGAAGTAGAGTTACATGTGTGGTAGTTACATGTGAGGTAGAGTTACATGTGAAGTAGAGTTACATGTGAAGTAGAGTTACATGTGTGGTAGTTACATGTGAAGTAGAGTTACATGTGAGGTAGAGTTCCACGTGAGGTAGAGTTCCATATGAGGTAGAGTTACATGTGAAGTAGAGTTACATGTGTGGTAGTTACATGTGAGGTAGAGTTACATGTGAGGTAGAATTACATGTGAGGTAGAGTTCCACGTGAGGTAGAGTTACACGTGAGGTAGAGTTCCACGTGAGGTAGAGTTACATGTGAGGTAGAGTTACACGTGAAGCAGAGTTACACGTGAGGTAGAGTCACATGCGAGGTAGAGTTCCATGTGTGGTAGAGTTACATGTGAGGTAGAGTTACTTGTGTGGTAGAGTTACATGTGAGGTAGAGTTACATGTGAGGTAGAGTTACATGCGAGGTAGAGTTACATGTGTGGTAGTTACATGTGAGGTAGAGTTACATGTGAAGTAGAGTTACATGTGAAGTAGAGTTACATGTGTGGTAGTTACATATGAGGTAGAGTTACATGTGAGGTAGAGTTACATGTGAGGTAGAGTTACATGTGTGGTAATAACAGGTGAGGTAGAGTTCCATGTGAAGGTAGTTACATGTGAGGTAGAGTTCCATGTGAGGTAGAGTTACATGTGAGGTAGAGTTCCATGTGAGGTAGAGTTACATGTGAGGTAGAGTTACATGTGAGGTAGAGTTACATGCGAGGTAGAGTTACATGTGAGGTAGAGTTCCATGTGAGGTAGAGTTACATGTGAGGTAGAGTTACTTGTGTGGTAGAGTTACATGTGTGGTAGTTACATGTGAGGTAGAGTTACACGTGAGGTAGAATTACATGTGAGGTAGAGTTACATGTGAGGTAGAGTTACACGTGAAGCAGAGTTACACGTGAGGTAGAGTCACATGTGAGGTAGTTACATGTGAGGTAGAGTTACTTGCGTGGTAGTTACATGTGAGGTAGAGTTCCATGTGAGGTAGAATTACATGTGAGGTAGAGTTACACGTGAGGTAGAGTTCCACGTGAGGTAGAGTTACTTGAGGTAGAGTTACATGTGAGGTAGAGTTACACGTGAAGCAGAGTTACACGTGAGGTAGAGTCACATGCGAGGTAGAGTTCCATGTGTGGTAGAGTTACATGTGAGGTAGAGTTACTTGTGTGGTAAAGTTGCATATGAGGTAGAGTTACATGTGAGGTAGAGTTCCATGTGAGGTAGAGTTACATGTGTGGTAGAGTTCCATGTGAGGTAGAGTTACATGTGAGGTAGAGTTCCATGTGAGGTAGAGTTACATGTGTGGTAGAGTTCCATGTGAGGTAGAATAACTTGTGTTGCAGAGTAACTTGTGTGGAAGAGTAACTTGTGTGGAAGAGTGCCATTTTAGCACAAGAGGTGGCCTGCGGAGACATTGGCTACTGATCTGATAATAAATTATGTACAGTGCAGCGGTGGCGTCAGTATGATATCAGATCGCAGGGAAACTAAACATCTTGATCGCCTCTACAGTCAAAATTAATGAAATTAACATTTTAGAAGATACTGATAACGAAAAGCATACAGAGACATGCTATTGCGACGGAAACGAAGGACGTCAGTTGGGTGGCTCCGCTCGGATTACATTTGGCTATGGTTGGGAGGGACAGCTGATCGTGTAGGAAGTCTGTCACATAAGAAGAGGAACAACTTGCTTGAGCGGCTGCGGCATCTCTCGCACAGTCGATAAATGTATTTATGGCTCTGCAAATAAATGAGGTTTTTAATCACTATTATCGTATTGTCGATAACTATCCTTGATAGTTTGTCACTTCGATATTTCGACAAAGTCTTTTGTATTTTATTCATTTGATCATTAATCGTTCATTACCAAATGCCTCCGATGTATTTAGTTCTTCAATCCCTTTCATTGAATCCACTATTTCTTATTCTTTCATTCAATTACACTTGTATTCATCTAATCTATGCACCTATTCTTAAGTCCTCGCTTTTTTCTCATCTTTTTATTCCTCAAGTCCTCTCATAAATCATTCTTTTCCTTTCATTTCATCCTTTCGTTCCTTTAATCCTCATAAAATCCTTTCACTTCTAGGTCTTTTCATTTAGCCTTTTGTTCCTTAATCCTCTCATTCAGCTTTTCATTCCTGTCCTCTCCTGTAACTTGTAATACTCTATGAAGTCTGATTTCCTAAACCCTTTTTGTCAAATTTAGGATTTATGGAGGGGGGAAACTTACCGTCCATCGTGACCATCGAGGATCGTGACCTCTTTGTATTAAATAAACATAAGCAACATATGGATGAAGGGGAGCATAATTAAGTTGGCTTAGGGTTTCTACAGAGAGAAAATTAGTATACTTTGCTGAGAATTCCATAGCGATATCACTTACTCGCATGAGATCGTGACACTGTTCAGGTTCGCTCCATTTTGTATGGTGGTCGCAAGGGTTGCTGCGCATGTGCCGAGCAGGTCTGCTCCTGCGCTATCAGCGACAAAACAGCTAACGAGGAGACTAGTCCCTGGAAAAGTCAGCCAACGTATTACACTGTCCTCTCGTACAGTTACAACGAATCAATAAAATGGTAGGACAACCTTTAATTTGTTCACAAATCGTTTGTTAAATTATGTCATAATTTTTTGTCTCGAGTATCGGGAAAGGATTTTTTTTTTTGTTTTGAAAAAGATATCAGTACTTATTGAGTAAAACTGAATTGTTTTGTGTTGGTGGTCTGGACAAATGATGAAGTTTTTAAAAGTATGATGAATTATTCTATCTTCTAGAATTGATATGATATAGTGCAGTCTTGTTCAGCAGTATTGATGGAAGTATAGGGTTTTTTTAGGACGCTTTTTTTAACGGAATCAAAACATTTGACCATAGATCTGTAAAATATATTTTAAAAAATCATCGACATCAAGAATATAATTGGGTCGACGATAATCAGTGGAAGCACATTGATTTTATTGTGACAGGTTAGTTATTTCATCTAACGTTCGATCTAGA